TTTTATTTTCTGTTACCCGTCTTGTGTATATTGAATATTGGTTTAACTCAGCCAAAATTTGGTTTGCAAGACCTAGCAAGGCATTTTTTTAAAGCAACAATCAATAAGAACAGCTAGGCGTAATTGACAGGTTGGTAATCGGTTTGTACTGAGCGTCAGCTCTTTGATTCACGACTCGGCCTTGCTTGTTCAATATTGCTCCATTTTACAAGAAAGACATCCTGTGAATTATTAGCCTCGTTGCACTTTGCAAGCTTTAAATTATTGATTGCCTTCTGATTAGTGGCACAAGAGCAACGCAGTGTACCAACTCCTAAATCTACACTGGTAGATCAGCAAGAATTCCTCAATTATTCAAGAAAACAAACGCCAAATACACTGAAATTTCTTTCAATGGACCTTGCGTATTCATAAAGCTAGAGTCCGGCAGACATGCAGAATCCAGATATGAGGAAAAGAAGAAAGGCTGGTACCCCGCAGCACTGTTGATTAAAGTTTTGACATAATTATACTCTGTATCTGGCGAGTCTGTGAAACAGTCGCATTATGCCGAGCATGTTTTCACATCATAAGACAATAACACAAGCATTACTGTCGACCTACTTCTCATCTTTAAAAAGTAATTTGGTAATACTTGGATGATCGATGCGTTGAAGAACATCATTCCATCAAATCCAAAGGAAATTAAAAGCACGGATCGGGTTGGGCGCAGTTGAATATTTGTAGCGCGACCACTTTCAATTTGTTAGGACGGGAACCTATCCAAATAAGCATGTCATCAACAACCAATTGTGTGGTCTTAAGACGGTCATGCGTGCACTCACAACCAATCACTTTTTTATTGGAAAACCAGACGATTTTCTGCGGGAAGTGAAAATAAAAGACGGTGTCTTATCAAATTCATCAACATCGCGCACGATGTCGACTTGACATCCATCATGCAGCTAATGCACGGGCAGCTGGTTCAGTTTAGACAAATTGTGCCAAAATGTCGAATTTCCTGCCCGGTATTAGACAAGTAAACTAAGGCAAAGAAGACATATGGAACATGCTCACACATAGCAATCGATCAGAAACCACCTGATTAATTTTGATCAAAACTAGAGTGTACTCATGTATTTTGGTCAATTTCGATGCACACTACGACGCATTAGTCTTTCCTCACGATGTCTAGAGAGGGTCGGTGTAAATGCATTAGTCGTGTAAATTTTCATTTCTGATAATGTCTTAATACTATTCAGGGTCGTCGATGTCAAGGGACAGCATTTTGTCAGATATCCGTGAGCAATGTTCGCTTTAACTTAGCAGAATCCACGGTCCTCAAATAGATTATTTTAATGTAATGGTTCCTTGAAATGTGTTAGAAATTATCACCACATACAGCAAACATGTTTGCAGTAACAAAATGATGTCCACAATAGGCCTACCTAAATTTTGATAAGACCGTGGCTGGCAAACAGGAGATCGGAATAAGATAAAGCATTCTCCAAATAATAAAAGTGTTTTACAGGCCTCGATATACTTGAAATACAAACCTAAGTAATAGGAGAAAATGTCAGTCCTAGACGTTGTGTCTATATAAGACAGAAAGCGTAACTTGCCATTTTCGGCGACAGTTGGCTTCCACTTGTATGATATCACTACTTTTGGTATCACACTATAAAGCAGCCATCTGAATACAGTCCCTTAACGGCCGCATCAATGACCACTCTCCTTAGTGGACAATCATCGTATCGCTACCAAAAAGCAGACTTCCACTTATATAGACGTGTCCTTGGGTTGTCAAGCGCCCATTTCATCCCTCCTCCACTCATCACGTTGCGTGGCAACATCCAATGGACGTAAAGAGCAGTACCTGGATTAAAAGAAAATATTCGTCTCCTCTCCCTCCTTCCTTGGCTCGGGTGAAATGCATCACCAGCCTAGAGCGCCTTGATGGCAATGATAGGACCCAGAGAAGAGAGAAGTGTATCACTCAGCACAGAGTTACGCTAATCGCACAAATTGAACAGGTTGTTGATGTGAGCAGCGGCTTGCTATCAATTAAATATCGATTCCGAATATCGAATTAGAGACGTTGTCAATTCAATTTTCAGGGATAAACCCCGACTCTCATTGAAATATTTACGACTAATTGTACCATGCAGGGGCTTTTTCGGAGCTGCTTTCGTGCATTATTTCATTTCAACCAAAGTTGATACAAATGAGCATTTTTGTGATTTCATGAGGGAGCAAGCCCTAGCATTATACTTGCAGTCGACGTCGTCTCAAACATGTGATATGCCGAGGGCGTGCGATTTCTGCATCGGACACGTTTCACAGTTGTCATAGTTATCAAATCAGGTATCACTTACCAGGAAAGAGCCAAATGCCTTGACTAGCGATTTTTAATACTGCCAGTGTGTGAATACTTGCAATCTAAACTACACCATTAATGTCAACCATAATAGCCTGTCACCTGAAAGGCTAAAACTGGTGACCAAAACGCGCTTCTAAATGGTGCTTGTCCAACTCCATAGCTATAATTCAAACTATTACTTAGCCTACTAACTATGACTCAAAGTTTGCTCACTGGCGTTCTTGTAAATATGCAAAAGGCAACATTATTGCCGAATGACGGGGGAAACGATGCGACGAAAGTTTTTGCACTTAACGTAATTGCATAGGCCTTGCAGGAGCTATAGCAAAGCATAGAATGAAATACAGTTACTTCACCCCTATTTTATAATCTCACGCAACAATTTGTGTTTATGATGTAGAAACACACAGGTTCGTTGTTCAGGGTCATGACACTCTGACGGCAACAATTTGAATTTCCATCAAGTCTCTTCACAACGAGACAAAGTACGACGCGCGACAGTGCCCTTGCCACCAAATTAAACCCTGCAGACTATAGCTTCTTTTTTAAATGTCAAATTTGACGTCTGATTGCTCAAACCCCACTTTAGCTTCTGCGTTAAAACACAACACACTCGAAAGAATCGCCTGGGATACGGGATTATGAATGCGAGGGATATCATCAATAAATGGCGGGTTGACCCGAAGGAAGGTGGTGAAAGACACCGGCGTTATGTGGACAGTTTTGCCCGGAGATGGGGGTAGGCTGTGCATATATTGATCACAAAATTCCTGCCAACTAGTTACAGTGCCCTGGGGTTGGTCGACTGAGCCCGCCGCATCGACAACAAGGGAGTCCCCAAGGAATATTCAGTTGTTCCAAGGCTGCATGTTATGGGTACCAAAAATGCAAGCAAAAGTCTTGACCTGTTTCTCATAATGTTGCGCATTATAATTTTGGACTCACAAACCACCCCCGGACGTCGACCGAAAAAGACAAACTGATTACTTACTTCCACCAAGACAGTCTTCTTACATATTCCATAAATAAATAGGGCTGTGTGACGGTTTACCTTTGACGTAAGGAATGTCACTCTTAATTTTTACACTTGATTCTTGAATAATTTCATGTCACACCATTTTATCCCTCACCCTAAACGCAATGCAATCACAGTTATAAAAAATCATTTTGTATTGTCAAGGTTAGGATGAAAGTATGCGTCAATGCGCTGATGCTATCGACAAAAGCCAGCTTTACTTTCACAAACAGAGCTTATGGAACCTTGATAAAAACACATTTTCCCCGTAAAACAAATACTTCCAATATTTGTGGCAATATTAACCACAGCTTCATGCCCACAATAGAGCAAGAAGTACCTTTACCCTCTTTATGTCACCTTGTCTTCTCCCCCAAAGTTCACAACCTACACGGCACTGAAATATCAGACATGAATAATTAATAACCAAGTGCATATTCTCACGGATCGTTTTATGTGTTTTAGACTTCACAACAATTCCAGTTGACGTACCGATGAGACATATTTATTTCATTATATGACCAGCTGATGCCGTCTAGAGTATTGCAAGAGGGACTTGACACTTCTAACGGGAGGGGGCGCCCTTATTCAACCGCCCTTGGCCAGACGAAATATCGATTTGGCCCTATTCCAAGACGCCAATTTAAACCTATGATAAAATAATTACTTCTCGCAGCATGGTCCCTCTTCAATATCAGTGGAAATGACAGGGACGTCTCTGCGGTGTAAAATTACCACGTCGGATGTGCGATCGCTAGAATAGTGCAACAAAATATGGCCGAGATTTTAACCAAGGTTATTGTGTTAATGAGGTAATGAACTCGGCAAGGTTAGAATTCATGTGTTTTACTCAAAAGATTGAGGTTGTTCAGATCTATCACGTCAACGTGTATTATGCATCCATATGACATAGTTTAATGAGAAGCAAGGTGAAATCACTACGTGGCCTAACGCTTGATTGACTTGAGGCCAATTTTCAAAAACCCTTCCTTTGCACCTACAGAAAGCCAATATGAAATGAGTCTCATAGGGTTTGCTCGAATGTTAGTCCTTCCATCATCTAAATAAATTGAAACGAGAGTAATGCTTTAGCCAGATCTATACATTCCAAGGTATGTACATCCCTTGAACACATTCTGTCTGGCAATCTAGCATACTATGTAATCATGATTTAGGACACCGTCTGCGCACACCTCCTCCAATTGCACCTCATCCAAGCAGACGAAGCACTCTGTGTCATTCCCTTCCTTGGTGAATATGTCCATCTCTACAAGGACTACATATTCCACACCCGCTGATCTACTAATTAAAACTTTATATTAAACCCAGTGGTTCGTGTCATGACCACCCGACATGAAATTATTAAACAGGCAGTGCGTTGAACTCCTTTTTCCAGTGTGCTAAATTCGTTTAAAGCAACTGAACTTGTCAATTACATTTCAAGCACAGTAAACCTCTTGAATAATATTTGATATTGGATGATACTCCATGTGCGATAATTGAAATCGTCTCATTGTTTGTAAAAACGCACGCACGCATTTAAGTGTCGATACTTCAGGCCTGGAGTTCTCGAAACCCTCGCATGAAGACAGGAAACAACGAAAATACGACTCAGTTAGTACTTACCTGAATTAACTATGTCACGTCACATGAGTAGAGCTAAGCTGGTTTCGGTAGATGCAGTAAAGGCAATGAAGTCTTTTTTCCTCGTTTCACAGTCCATTCATTAAGGAAGATATATTCTGTAATACATGAAGTTAAGAAGTCCTTAGCAGGCCTAGAGGTGAGATCTTGATGGCACTGCCCTGATCGGCAACTGTGTGTCCTTCTACAAAGTTCACACACAGAGCAAAGAACAGTACTACCCCAACTCCACAACAAGGCAATGTCCAATACAACCTGCTTAGGCCTACAGCATGTCTTTTCTTGCTTCCCAATCTTTCAATCCAGATTTTGGTCTGTACTACAGGAGGGTGGGTTGCAGATCTACGGTTAAACCAAACACGGCCTATCATGAGGGCAAACAGGATTAACTCGCTCCACATTTGCTTCAGTACTGGCAGCTTCCACTCTGAACAACTCACGTGTTACTGCACAGTCACCAGTTTCAGCAATGACGGCCATCGTGTACACTACACACGTACGTTGATATGATGCATGCTTCAATCTGATACGAGGCATGCTTTATCCGTGTATGATGCACAATGCGCTTTGTCGGTGTAGAGCAAACACTTGTGCGCAACATTCCAGTGTCTGCGCCTAGCAACGGCCGATTGGTGCACACCCTTGGCCCGTGAACAAAAAGGAGCATGAACTTTGCATTCAAACTTGATCAGGGAGATCATTGTCACGCTGGCGGTACAGCTGTATCTGTGATACTGACGATCTTCCTAGTAGGCCTACACAGTGACAGATCTATTCGTATTGCGCATTACATCGATTTGGTCAGGCTAATGTAGTATGTCAAGAATGCCGTGCATTGACACCAATCCTAAGCACTGTGATTTGCGCACAGCAATTGACCATATGGCGCTGCGGAAGACTTTATTATTCTATTCCGAACATGTTCTGCGTAGGGTCAAAGGCAGCGATTCATCGGTTAACGGACACATATAAGACATCTTAACAGACTTATGTTTATTTCACTAATACAGCTTGGCTGGAGTAAATCTAAGGAACTGAGTACACGACACCCTACTAGACTGTTCTAGGCTATACAGGGAAGTTGTTGTTTTAATGGCGCTTTCAGCTACTCAGGCTACTTGCGCCAATAACTATATGTTCATTCCTAACCTTTATTAATCAGCGTCACATTACGGAGGTTAGGAAGAAGGTCCAAGTTTTAGAAGCAGGCTGTTCATGCCGTTCGTGTTTATCAGACTGCGCATGAGTTGAGCCCACCAATGACCGCACTTGCTCCGCATCTTGGCTCGACCATTTCGGTACGTATACTTGTTATTTGGGTGGGTGTTGGATTTCGCAAGGCCTTAGCCATGCAGTGCGCACCTCAAGCTTTTTGGTGTGTATAGCTAACTTGGAAATGTGTATTTTTTTCTGTATTTAATGGCTAATTCTTTTTATGGCCAAATTTCTATGTGCTAGTTCCCTTTCCACCCACGCCGTCAACCATCCATAACTCATGTTGCTGAGAGAGCTGCGCTGTCTTCAGCGTAAGGCAAATAATGTAATGCCAGTTTCGACGGACATAATTCAAAATGGCCTGAGTTTGGATCCTGGACTCCAATTTGTTCTATCCAGTCGGATAGACACAAATTAAAAGTTGTAATCAGCAGCTTGTAGGGCTGAGGAAGGTGGGTCGATCATCTCGACCAATTGCAAATGTTCCAAACTGCCCACTTGGGGATGCACAACCCCGCAAATGACGAAATTGGAGAGAGGACGGAATGGAGGAGTCATAATGGGTGATCGATGTAGAGCTGTGAGTTAAGCAGGGCACCCAAGGGTAGTCTTTAACTCAGATAAGGCACACCCCCGCGAAATAGCTTAAAGCAACATTCCTACAGTCAGAAAAACAGTTTATTCTGGTGTAATATTCAAAAAAGTGTATTAGAAACTTATGAAACAATTTGGATTAAAAAAGAAATAGCAGGTGTTACCTGCAGAAACTCCAGTCATGACTGCATGAGATGACTGAAGTTCCCCATAGGGAATCAACATCGTCTGGCCCACACACTATTGAAGTCAAAAGAACGTGGAAAACCGAATAATTGCTTGAGCGCAAAGATACTTGCGCCTGCGCTGTTTGCGCAATTGCCTTAGTATTTGTTTGTCATGCCGCCTGCCTGTCTGTCCGGACAGTCATTGGATTTTTTAATGGCCACCCTGCTTTCCACACTCGACTTATGTAAAATTAAAACTATTCTTTATTAAGTTCAGGACTGTAATTTGGAGACTGTTTTTTGATGTCAACTCTACTCTATACCAGATTATATTTGCCCTTTCGGATCCGCTGTGCCATACGGCAGGTGAGGGGCATCGCGCAATTATCGTTATGCGTTCCTTTGGGCATAGAACCACATTGTTTGGAAACAGACATTTCGTTCTTATCATTAAATAGGAGAGATAGAAACAGCATTAATTGCCGGATGTTCCCCAATACAGTAGGCTGAGATATGACAGCCCCCCAATAACATAACCAGCAATTTATTGTGCAAAATGCATGTGGAACCAACGAAAAGCGAGATGCATCGCATACTTTGGCTGATAACCTGTTTGTTTGTTTGTTGTTTGTTTCAGGATTTCTCCCCTTATTTTCTTACCAAGTATTTTCTTTGCCTATCGAGGTTCTATGCTTGCCATTTCTATGATTTTGCCCCCAAGAGGAAACATGGAAATTTGACAAGATGGAGCATTCCGCCTGATCCGGATAACTTCGTGTCTTTTCAACGTGACAGGTCATTTCCTTTCTAATTTGACCAACCGGTAAGTCTTGTCAGCTTGTTCACAGATGTCAAGCGTTGTCATCGGTTACTAGACAGCGTGATACAAATTAAAGAGGCTTCAGTGGAATTCACATTTGGCTTTGTCTGAAAAATCTCTCAAAAATCAAATTTCCACGAATTAGAATTTTTTAAATCATCATGCCAAATTCTGATCGTATAGACTAATGGCATGACTATCCAGGTATAAGGTAAATGCAAAGTATTGCTTATAGTATTCAGCGTCTATTTCCATATGACGTAATAGAGAGAGCCGGCCTTATCCGCCTCGAGCAGAAGTATACCCCCTTCAGCAGTTGAAAAACAAGAGCCGTGTTGTCCGGGAGTATTCACTTTGTTGGTAGTGACGCGACCGTAACGCATGCATTTCCTGGGCGTTCGTGAACCAGCAACGTTCAGTTCCGACCGAAGAGCTTCCGTTGCCTAGAAAACAGCGCCCTCTCTTGGTCCCTCTCCAGGCCCATTGGAGGAGAAGTTCACAGTTGTAGTGTTTATTTTCAAAGCGTTTCCATAAAGTTCCACGTTTAGCATTGTGCTTAATTAACTTGTTTTATGACATACTTATCCGCGAGTCAGTAAGACGGTCATCGTGGTGCTCGAATCTATCGTGTTCACAGCCCCCTCTCTTTATCACCAGCTTTTTGGGTCCAAATCAACATTCTGTCCAATTTGATTATTTGCGCAACCTTTCCATTAACTGTTTTCCATGGTGCACGAAGTGGCGTACTTGAAGAGTCTTTGGTAACAGAAGATTATGCTTTTCCCGCCAAAATGAAGACCGAAGTTAGCGGTGAATGACTCCGCGGAGGGTTGCTGATTCTGACAGCTTTCCGATTGTTATGGTAAATTGATATACAGCTGCTATCCCGGACATGTGCGAGCAAATGATTTAAACAAACACCGAGAGGCCTGTCTGCAGCTTCGGCACTTAATGGGACGCGGTATAGTGTGACAGTCTGCGTGAAAGATTTTGACAATTTTTCAAACAAAGTTCCGGGTGATTACTTCAGGCTTTAAAATTATTGGTCTCTGAAGTCAGTGCGTGAATTAGAGACAGGCTTGTGTAGTCCGTTCGTGTGCATTGTATTTCCGGTTCCAAATGACGTCACATTTCAGAGTTAATGCATTCGGTGCATTCGATTAGCTTCCACGAGTTGTAGGGGTGTATTCTCGTCCCCAACATCTCGTTTGTTTGACACAGCACGCGCGACAATCCCTTGGTCAGGGCTCAGTGCCCCATGTAAGCTGATCGAACACACACCAATATTTACAGGCAGCTCTGTAGTCGATGGAGTGAGCAAAATGACAATCCCAAATAGGTTAAGTTTACAAAAGTTCACTTGCCAACATTTATGACTCGGTTGCGTGAGTAAGCCATTACATGCATTCAATTTTATAAAAGCTTCACATGGTTAATAAAACTGCATTTTGCACTTGAAGCAGGTATCTTCAAAGGTCTACCGTCCACAGACTTCGACGAGTCAAAAACGCGCAGACTGGATTTCAAGTGGAATAGCTTTAAATCCATTGTGACATCTCCCTCAACGTCTCTCACTTCTTCCGCAGTCGCCTTCGGCATTTCCTCAATCTATACTCCATCGGATATAAGTCGCCAGCCTTTGTTAGCCACCCATGCAAACGGTCATAAATACTATGCGCAGGCAATCCGCGGAGAAGTCATTGCACCAGGCTAGACTAGTGGCTGCCTTTTCTATCACGCCTGACATTTAGCTGTGGGCGGTGGGGAATACCGAAAGATGTATGAAATGTGATTTCTTTAGGGATGAGATGGGATAATTTCAAGTTTTGGCAGCATGCCAACAGGATGCGGGGGCCCATCGTACTGCCTTGACGCCCATGATTAGACTTGAATTTTACCGGAAAATGTCATCGCATTCTGTGATTGCGAATTAGCCCGTGAAATGGCACGTTACAGCTAGCAATTTTACTAATAACTTTTCATAACTGCTATAAACACACAACTGATGCTTCCTCCTGTCATTGTAACAAGCAATGTCATCAGAATACATGTCAAAATTTGAGCATCGATAAAATTGTTCTCAGGGTTGCAAAAATGTTTCGTTGGCAGTGCAAAGTGCATATTCACAGCTTGCGGTGTGGCTCATTTTTAATGGTAAACGCAGTTCGTTTGAATGAAATTTTACTATTAGTAAAATGAGCATGAATCGTGCTTAGATATAAAATCCTAGCATACATGTATCTACAATGCATCACTTGTCGCGTATATTTATCACTTTTGGTATAATACACACACACTATATGATTTTGAAACATAATATTAAAAGATGGTTTAAAAAGTGCGCCAGACTATTAAAAATAGGGCGCACGCAGACAACATTTAAGATGGTAGAAACATTATAATGTACGTGTTTTTCGTCCTTCAATACAGACATTTCCAGTTCAGTTGTTCCAGTTAGCCTACGTGCACCAGACTGGCATCAAATTATTCCTGCGGATTTATTAAAATTAATTTGAGACATGAGGATGTACAGCATTTAACTAGTCGAGCGGCTATCATGGTTATTACGAGGTATAGAATACAAACCTGACGCATAAATAAATTACATTCTAAACCCAACACTTGTACAAATTGAATAATCAAAGTTTCTGTACCATGGCAGTGCCTTTTCCCAATTAGCTTACCCTTTACTTTTAATTCAGATATGGCCACCACATGACAACTACGTAATAGATTAAAGTGGCATTTGCAATCGTGAAAAAGTGAATATATTTTCGGAAAAAAACTATAATTTCAATGTTGAAAGACCATTTTTGAGTTGACTGACACATTTCAGTACTACCAAACAATTTTTGCCACAGACAAAAAAACCCAGTTACAGGATCCGCTAGGATTTTAGACACATCTTACGCAATCGACGCATGTGCACAGTCAACCATAATGATTACATGTAAGCGACAATCAAATTTAACTAACAGGTTGTATAGACCTACCTTACACAGGGACAAGATACAGGTCACAGACACATTTATACAGGTCACAACACAGTTTTGTCACATCTAATAAGTCTTTTAAATTTGCCATCATGTGATTTCCTAAACTCTCTCATATTTTAGCAGTCTGGTGTGTGACTCTGGATAACTGAGACGCGCCGCTAATGATTAATGAGCGCTTGGAGGCCTTTTCATTTTATGTGATTATGTAACCCGTAGATCCTTGGTCACGGCTTATTTCTGATACTGTTCCGATAAAATTCTTAAACACGGAAACGGTTTTAAAGATGGTTTTCTGAAAAATTTCTTAAATCTTCCCGAACAATCATTTTCAAGGCAACCTTGGGGTTTCCAGGGGCCACCAAAGTCTGCTGTATACATCGTACCCTGCATCGTTTGTGTTCCGTGAATAATAGGCCTAATATTGTACTTGTATCTAATCACACTGCATCCAGCTTTCACAGCTGCAATGCACTCATTTTTACAGCAATTGACCGTTAGGCTACATGGATCTTTTGTTTAAAAGTTCATCAGAGGTGCCCAAGTTAATTCTCAAGTGTACTACCGTGGTTTACTTATAAGTACCATACACCGCCTGTCATTTAACCAAAATACAGTCTTGCTTACGGATCGGAAAAAGCAAGAAGAATGTTGTACACTTACGCTCGTTCCAGCACTGCTTGGAGTTCTCCTCGCCAAAGGATATAGTCGGCGTAGTATTTAGACACAAGTTTCCCGCAAAGACTGAGCCAAGAGAATTATCTGCTGGGAAAATGTCAGGCGTCTCTTAGGGTTTGGTTAGCTGTCTATGGGCCGCAGAACTGTCTCACCATATCACGTCGTTGAAAACTGGCTACATATTTGCCGCGTAGGCGTGAGTCCAGCACTGTCGATGCAAACATGCCGACAGGACACTGGTTCATTTTGGCGCGATTTCCACTGGCGCAAAAACCCATCCGCGTGTATTGACAAAAATGTGTTTGTGAAAGCGTGGTCTCAATTCAGTGAAAGCGCGTAACCGGAATACGTTCCTGGTACTGAGTAGTTAACTGACTTAGTAGCCCGGTGGCCTTTGGGAACCAGCGACCATTCGCCACCTCAGCGCCCTCAATCGTCCATTGCGAGGCCATTTTTCACGTTTAGCATCGACAAAAAAAGGACTGCCAGTTACCACAATTAAATGAGCGTATGTCAGAAGACGACTATAAGATCAAATTTTTTGATAGATTGGGACTTCCATATTGTCACAAGAAAGAAGACAGAACTGGTTAAACTGCTACGCGAAGCACACTCACAAATCCTCTCCCCTTACAGTTTGCCTACAGCCAGAAAATGGAATTTGTCCACCCCTTACCAATGCACTGCAAAAAAGGCCTGTGTCTGTGGCGCCTTTCCCCTGGAGAATCACCCGCATTATACCACTTATACTGAGCGGCAATGATGGATTTCATTGGAAAAACACAACCGTGTAAAGACTTGTCGTCAAGTCTCAGAGGGATGACTATGCAAAATCATATAACAATGATCATTTTGACATGGAGGTAGATACTACAGATTTGCAAGTCCAGACGAATTTGCACCATGTTCAAAGCTTATCTCAAGCCTTTATTAGCAGCGGGACAAATGGAAATTTTTTAAACAGCCAGTTGACGAGCGTACACAAAACAATTTACTGCACAAAGCCGAATTAAATTGCTTTCATCGTCATTGTCCGTCATTATTCGCTAACACGCACCTTAAACAAAATCAGTAACAGATTCATTTTATGTGGTGAGTTTGTGGATGGATGCGTGGTCAATCCGTTTGATAGAGGAATATTTTAAAGGTAGCCTTTCCTCTCTGATAAGGTCCAGCACACCTTTTCCCTGTTGCTCAAGCTAAAAAAAAGAACTGAAGTAGGATGTCATTTAATGAGTGTCCAGCTGGTCTTTCGCGTTTGAGCACAGGCCATTTTCTAGAGTGGCAACGACGCAATTACATTCACACCCCCTCCACGTAGTCTGTTACCATGATGTGTCATAGGAAATGACGTGAAAACTTGACGTTGTCATCAAGCGGCGGTCTGTTCTCAGCTCACGTGTTACTTTGTCTGGCGGGCAACTGACTAGCTTGTCCACCAACTTTCAACTGACCTTGTTCTCAGATGTGGGAAGGACAGATGAGCTCAGGCGAATTTACGGATAACAATCTCTACCGAAGTGCACTTCTATCCATATACATTACTGCTAGCTGGTTTCTTCTAAGTGGCGCAGAATTTACACACCTATAACTCGCCCGTGATAGTTCTTCGACCTATATTTTCATCTATTAGATCCCAGTCTTTTGTGTGTCATAAAAATGAAACGAGGTAGTTAAGTCCTGATACAGGTTATTATGAATTAAGCCTCGAGAGTACACCTGTATGGTTCGAGAGATTTCTGCTTTTTGTATGAATCTGGACATATTTAGTTTTCATGGAGTAAGATACAACGCTGAAAGACTTCAGTGTTCATACTAAAGATTAACTCAGGCGCACGTTTATGTCTGAGTTCAAATTGTTATCTGTACATTTCTCACAAGCTCTGATCAAGCTCTCGGTATCCTAACATTCGAATTCCTTCTCAAAGTACTCGCCTCAGCCTCGTCACCGGTGTAGTCTTGGAAGAGGACTTGATCAGTTCTACCGGATTACCTTTTTATAAACCCTCAAAAGACTGTCAATAACTGGACCTGGTCCATCTGTGAATGACCTAGGCTTGACGTGCAGCAAGGTCGTGGTGGTGATACGCCAGCGTTGATGATTTTGGATTTTTCTCTCCCTTTAGCAGATTTTGCTGACAGCGCCCTCTTCGCGTGGCTTTGTGTCAGCACGCGGCGTGCGAAAGACAAGTGGAACAGTTAGTCCAATCTTGTGTCTGGAGCCAAGTCTAGGTCTTCGCCAGTTATAAAAACATGTAATTATTGTGCACACGCTGACAACAGAAATAGCCGTAGCTCTTAAGTCCGTTTTGTTTATTGGCAAGACCTTGGGGTGCGGGTAGATTAGCCAAGCACATCGTGGCTGTTGTGACAAGTCCACAAGAATTGTTTGAGTAGGGCGGGGTTTGTGCCCTTCATAGCGCAGGTAAAATGATATTATTTTATTAGTCGTCTGGACAAACTACACGATGTTTGCCTTAAATGTGTTTGAAAATACAGTTGGCTGCATTCATGATCCACATTTGACGTTTGAACATGTGACTTGTGCATTTTTTTTCCAGATACGTGAGCACACACGGACTCCACGCATTATAATTTTCGTCTGTGTTTTCACATATCCAGGATACCTCCATATTCTGTCCAGTGACCCCAATCACAGGTGAAATCCAAAGATTATCCCCTTATAGCCTGAGATAACACGGGTCACTTGTGTCAGATGCTTCGCATCTGCTTGCTGAATCAAGTTAGTGACCAGTAATAAAAAATCCACAACACAGTGACGTACACGTTCACCGTTCGTCAATGATGCCGCAGCTTGAGGCTCCGTTACGGGTATAGTATTATGCTGCTTCTACGCAGACGAACTAACCTATCATAACTACAAGCAAGGGGCCTCCAAGGGGTTTTGGTTCAAACAGATCGGTTTTCAAAACCACATGGTACTGATCAATGTGGGAAAACTCTGGATGTTCAAATGAGATCTTGAGTTTGGGGACTACCTAAAAACGTTGTTTTAGTTACATTTTACAATGTCCCTGCATCGCCAAAATTTAATAACATGATTCAATATTTAATGCTTGAAGCACGCCACTGCCGAGATTTCACAGCCCAAGGAACACTCGCCACTTCACCGTGACATTCTGTCTCATTCCTTGGGAGTAAAATGCCCCGAGGCACGAGTCTATCGCGCTAGGTTGGGCACGCTTCCAGCCGACAGGGCTCTGGTGAATCTGATTTCAGCAGAGCGCTGCCAATTTAATCAAACGAACCACTATATGCAAACTGACATACGAGGTGTACGGCTGGCCGTGCCTCTCATTCAACTGTGCAAAAATATGGCTAGGATTTGATCCAAAGTGAGGAAGCACTGAGTGCACACCAAGTGCACCCTGAAATAAAAATTCTGGGTCAAAGTGCCGAAAATGGGACAACTTATTGCAAACTTTTGTCAGACTTAAAGTTTCCATTCAAGAGAGGGCGCTGTTTCTAACGTGTGGCGTTCGCTTGTGCATTTCCGTTACCGAGTGACCCTAATAAACACAAAAACCACATACACACGATATAAAAGCTTACAAAGGCAGTACGCCGACTTCGAGGGAGTCATTCTTTACTTCAAAATTTACATAATACAAACTGTACTTTTAAATGTCACATTTTCATCAACATTATTCATTCTTCTCGGCTATTAAATAAATTTCTTGTTAATCGGTGGCCAATAGTGCTTTCTACAAACTTCAAGATGGTAATAAATTATCTTTTGCTAAAAATATACGTACAAAGTAACAAATGTTTAAACGTGACTGGATAAATCCAAGGAAATATCAGACAACATATACAGTACAAGCTCTGCTTCCATTTATGGATTTCAAGATGGGTGCAATTTTCTAACCAAATAAACCAAAGAACTTTTTTCCAACCTAGCAAGAGAACATTATTGCATCCGCCTGCCATCCACACTCGCAAATAAGAAGTATAGTAGCGGGTATGTGAAAGGTTTTTATTAATCTAATTTATAAATCAATGTTCATCGTTTATTCCCTTGGTGAACATGGTTTGAAATCTACTACATGTATATGCTTCATATCACTCTTTTACTGTCGACAGTAGGCCCTAAATAGGTTCACAGCATTTTCTTCATGTAAGTCGTCTCCTGACCGAGGATCAGATTGTCTTTCAACATTAAATGGAACGGAATGTCAGATCGAGCAGGATTGAATGATTCCCAGTTTTTGGAAGATAAAGGGAAATGTTTGTCCGTACTTATAAAATACTGTACTTCTACGAAGAATGCAATGATAGACATATTGGATCCTGAACAGAAATGAAACGAGAAACTTTTTAACACAATACATTAATTGCATTTTGGAATTTAAAAATACCCTTTGTCGAAATGCAATCAATATACATTTCCCAACCAGGAGTTCAAAAGTCGAATTTTAAAACTACTCCGCCTCTGAAGAAGACAAGGAAAGTTGTGACAAAATACTGCCGCTCTTCTGAGCTGATTGGGAATTTAAAAGTTTGATCAAAAGGCATTGTTCACTGAATATAAAGAAGAAATATGATTTCATATACAAAATATATTTACAGAACACGATATCAAAATGTAACACAAATAGTACACAGATGTTGCCTTAAAATTCTTTGATTGTTCGCACAAATGTTATTAAAAATACTTAATTTTCTCAACAAGACAAAGGCAGATTGCATATATTATTTTAATCTACTTTAACAAAAAAAGAAACCAATATCAGTAGCACTCAAGTTTAAAGCTTGTCTACGCAAAAAAGGAAATACTATAATGGTAATGATGGCTTGGATCAATCCTCAGCCAGTGTTCATTGCTCTAGACACCATGTTCAGATCTCTTTATGTGATTACGTTAGCAGTTTTTCACATGACTACCTCATATTAAAGTTTCTCATCCTACTGAGAAACTGAGTTTTTAACTGACAAGGTTTTATACAAGGTGGTTGAATTGACAGGCTTCATCTTGTTCCTCTGACAGGATACTTTGTCATTCCATCCTGTCTTCATCTTGCTAATATATCAAACTCTCTCATGCATTGTTGGGTGCTACTAATCTCGTCAATGTGACAATACTCCACTTCTGTGAAGGCGAGAAGTTGTTTATTAAGCATCGGCAGGCGAGGTGAACCTGACTGCTAAGGAAGACTTCTACTGAACGCACTCATGTTCAACACAAAGTGACAAGGAATCAATTTTCTTGGGGAAACTTCCTTACAAAAACAAAAATCAGCCCTAGTGTCCTTCAATTTGTACTTGTAACCAAACAAGTTTCTGTCATTAATTATGCCATATCTTCATTGAATGTTAACCTTATATCATAGTCAAGTTTCTTGCTAACTTAAAAATCTGTCTGGTTATCCCTCCCACTTCTTATAGGGTAAGGATAAATACTTACCCTAAACTTTGAATCAGATGAACACTTGCAAAAATTATTGTCATTAGGACTTACATTTTGTCATCCAAAAACTGAAGTGCATGGTAATCTGCGGAAAACCTATTTATAAAATCAAAATTCAAAATTTAGCAATTGAATGTTCAAACTTCACTGTACGTCCCAATGAAAAAATTGTTCTAAAAAGCCGTATAAAGTGTCATGAAAGTAAAGTACCATTTCAAAGCATTTTTTTTAAGTGAACAGCAATGTATTGACATCTGCCCATCATGAAATCTAAGGTAAACCATGTCTGAGTAAAGTTAATGTACCTAAAAAAAAATAATTCCAACATTATTTCCTGATAATTCTGTTATTTTCAATATTTCTCCGCTTAACAAATAATTATTCCAAAACTCACTGCCCAAATATTTTGCAAAAAGGCTGCCCCATGTATTCCATACAACATGAAAATTTGTATGTATATTTTGTGGTCCAAGAAACATTTCCACACTTTAGAAACAAAAAAGAATTCCTATGTATACAATTAATATGCAAACTAAACCTACTGGGTGTGGACGAGACATTGACAAGGGTGTACAAAAATGAATGTACAAAGGACGGACTATCATATCATGGCAATACCTAAGTTGACAATGAATTTCCCATTGTGTCTTGTTGCTAAGCAACCTTTCCAATATCTTCTCTACAATGCTACACATCTTTGTAAACTACATGTATAGGGACTGCTTTAAAAGTTGGTAATAAATTCATAGCAGATGTTGAAAGGTAACAGTGAACAGGTTGAAAATGTGCCCATTTACGAATGTAAATGGTCATTGTTGCTGTGATGAATTCATTAAATTGGCAAACCTACAACTGTATTATCTCCCCAATCATTTCCTGAGAATGAGTAACGAACCCCAAATTTGTTCAAGAACTGATGATTAAAAACAGCTGGAACTAGTTCCATGACTTTATACAAGTACTCTTGTTGCTTTTAGGTTTAATGGCATAGCAATACTTTGAGAGAGTTCATACAAATATGTGTTCTCTAGAGATCCAGATAAGCTGGATTGTGACATCCAGAATACCTGGACAGAATCTCAACAATCTAACTGCTTGATGTAGGTACATGTATGCCACTTGGGTGACCACCGAGGAACGTGATAACCAAATGCCAGGATGTTCCTACAACCAGCCAAGACTTTATACAGTGTTTTCCAATTTATGTTGGCACACCTAGGAAGTAATGAATATGAACTGACCCTTAAAAACAATGCATGCTTGGATACCAAAAAGGTTTGTCACTGCTAAACAAACCACACAGTTTGATCAGCAGATTCAAAAGTTAGTTAGTTTTATAAAGAAATCCTACTTACAAATGGCTATGCATACAAAATGGTACCATAAGTACAAATGCATACAGAATGGTAGCATAAGTACAAAAGGCATTAATAGTTTCCTTTGACAATTTTTAAATGTTGCTTTTGGAAGCACCTCAAGAATTTAGTCAAGATGATACCATTTGGCTTGGAAAACCCGAGTTTCAAAAATATACAGCTTTAGACATACCAAGCACATGCAAATCACATTGCAAAAAATAGTTTCTACAAAAATGCTGGTGCAGAAAAATAAAAAATATTACATTTGGTAAACAGTCTTAAATTGTTTGATTCTTAAATTGTTTCAAACATTTTAAAAATTCTGCAAGCATTCAAAAACCTCTGTAACATTAGGCTTTTCTTGAAAAGCAAGTTTGTAATGTGCTTCAAAAGGGACTGTAACTTCAATCCATTTGACCACATACTAACTTTTTAACCAGCACTGTTTTTATTGACATTTCCTCATTTATGTTTCAAGTTTTAATGTCCATAAAAAATTTTAACTATTCACAATTTTGTTTGAAAGACACTCGGTGTTTTAGCCAATGGTCAGCTTGACCGTTTGGTTGCAAAGAAGAGCAAAAGTGGCATCCATTTCGGCGGCCACTGTCGTGTGCAAACAAACGCATTGAAGTTTGAAATATGTATATGTTGCATTCAACAAACTCCTGACCCTAACATAAATACACAATTGATTACTTTCCACTTATTTTGCCAAAAATATTAAAACAAAAACAATACATTGTGCATTCTATATTGTGCATGTCACTTAGGTGTGACACTGCATGTCACACTGTGCAAACAATTTGGAAGACACAACTTGACACCAATTTGACCCCAATTTGACTCTGACACAATTCAGGTCAAGTAAAAACAACCTCACATTGCCAGACTGGTCTACTTGCACAGCAGAATCAATCAACAACTTTTCCTACCAAATTTTCTGGCATTGTTGAAAACTACTTCAATCCAAAATTCTGGTACCTCAGAACATCTACGCTGCGAAAAATGTTGCTTGGTGTACCTAATCATGTGCAAAGAAATTTCACAACCAACAGGGTGCAAGTTATAAATGAATATTCAGGAAGGTGCTCTTCTGAGCAATATTTGTATACAATGACACAGACAAAATGAATATTCAACACTTTCACCTCCTATCACACCAAAGGTAGTTTCAGTATTTGAATCTCAGGACAATTTAAGTGCAAAGTGTTCACTTACAACTAGCATAAGAGGACATACTCTCGGATGCACGACCTCAAACCTCAAATCAATATCTTTAGTATGGTCACTTACGGGTGATTTCTGAGCCAAACTGTACTTGGAGAAGGACAAATCGGGAGTGGTTGGGACTCACTGTCTTACCAAACGCTGGTTGGGCTTTCATGGCCATGAGAAGACTGAATCAGACCATTGGATCCATTGGAACCCTCGTGGAGAAGACTCGAAGAATTGTTGGCACTGAACAGGGATGGCTTGGTCTTACCCTTGTTCATGTCTGCCAGGAAAAAAATGATAACAATGATTCGCTGAATGTTGCAGGTGCATGCAGTTTATTGTCATGTTCAAGAGACGCTTCTGGAGATACCAGCAATTGGATGTTACAGTGTCACCATTGGAATAGCCATGACATTCTTGGTTAGGGGATATTCACTTACTGGAAATTGCCAGCCGCATCTTTCTTCTCGCCCCAAAGGTCGTGATGCCAAGCTCCTTTAGGTCATTGTCCGTCAGGGTCAGGAAAGTTGACAGGTCGATCTGCAGAAAGTTAAACAGCTCAGAGGTTAACTCCAAAGGGCAAATTGGTGAACAATCTGATCAAATCTATTCTAATGTTTTGCACAATGGACAAATGACACATTTCAGGTAAATGTCATTTCTTACTGTCTGGTACCCAGACTTTAAACCCTTACCTCTTGCTGTTGAAAGACATCAGCGTATTTGCCCAGACCAAGATTGATAAAGAGATCAGCTAGGTCTGGTTTCTTGGATTGTGTCAGTGAATTACTGCCCTCACTGCTGGACCAGAGGCCTTTAGTCTGTCCAGGTAGTGAGGATCCCTCGATGTAATTACTACAACTGAGGTTGGTGTATGTTACTGTAAAAAAAATTCACAATATTATCAGTAACAAAATCAGTTTTACTTTGAAATCAAAAGTGATGGTGTTTTTCATCAGGTATGATCATCCTATAATTTGTTGAAGTCTCCAGAGTGCTATTTCTCACTTCTGTAAAAATAACAATGCATCTCAAGGACAATACATAAGTACAAAATATAAATTAAAAAAGATTCCACAAAAAACTTTGCGATTTATGATGAAATATAGTCACATGGAACTCTTGAACATCTACTTGTATTGCAATGGTCATCTGCTACTGTACATATGCCACACTCAGCAATTAGTAAATTTGGAACATGGCTGCTTTGGGCTGTGGAAAAGGAAAGCCAACCTTTCTTTTTCCTGTTGGCAGGATATTCTCCAGGTGCAGCTGATGTTGGTTGTGGTTGCTCAGGTTGTTGACAGGTCATGAGGTCAATGGACGGACTTGGCTGATCTGGTGGCCAGCTGCTGTCAGTGGTGCCATTCTCAGTCTCCTCCTTCAGTGTGTTCTAAAAAAAAATGGAGATCATCCCACTTCCAAAGTTTTGTAAGACATTACAACAGGAGTATTATCCAGATGTGGACCTAACCCCTGAAATGCATACATTCCGTGACCACAATCCCTGAAACATTTCTGAGAAATCTGGTGGACTGCTGGGTAGTCTGGAGGTAGATTGGACCAAGTTTGAGTGATGACTAAATGTCAACCACTTATTGATTTTATGGTACCTGCCCCTCTACCTACCAATTATACCCTGGGCTCCTAGCCAAAGTGGGCAACAGTGGCTGGCTGCAGTGGCAGACTTATAGGCACTGATCAGGCCTGGCCTGTGTTGGTAGAGCAACAGGACTGTAAATACAGAGGTAATGGGTTCAATCCCACTCCATCCCATTTCCTTTACTGAATGCATTCAGGATACAAGCTCAAGGTTTTCCCAACCTCTAATACCTCATATGTAGTTGGCAGCTTCTCTGTATGGAATAGTGAGAATCCGTTAGGTTTACGTTGCTCCCTAATGGCTGATTCCGGCATTGATTTGGAGAAGCCTAAGCCACTCCACTGGTCAGTCGGCCGACGGACTTCTGTACCTATTGGCTTCTTCTTCATAGCTACGAGGGAAATCGATGGCAAATATTCTGATGAATAAGTTGATTTAGCTGGTGAGTACATTCACAGTATGCATGTCATAACTAGCAGCATTCGTGATAAACTGTCATCACAAACATGGATGTCAAATGAAAATGGCAAGAGTAAACTAATTGCTAATACAGCTTTTCCTTGTGTTACTTCACACAAGTCAAAGAAACTTTGCACTGAATGATTGCAACCATCCTAACTCTTTTCCTACTTCCCTTTATTCTTGTAATTCTTTGTCATTTTTCCTACCTCAATTCTCAACAAGCAAAACGATCCTATGGTTACAGATAGGAGATGTATTTGTGGTACAAAATATTTGCTGCTTGAATTCTGCATACCTTTATTTGCCTTGAGTTTCTTCTGGTCATAGTCAATACTACCGTAGGAGGCTGATGTTGACTGCAAAGCCAGCCTGTCCACCTCCTCCTGTCGTTCCTTCTCTCGTCCCCTCTCCCATTCTCCTCTCTCTCGATCCCTGTCCCGCCTCTCACATCCTGGAGCACGCTTGTCGGAGCTGTCTGAGTCACCGCCTGATTCTGATGATCTTCTGCCATTTGTGCTGAAGCAGAAGAAATGAGATTTTTTTCCAGGATTCATTCACTCATCGGCTTGTGTCTATATAGTCCAACTGTTTTGTAAATTGAACTCCAACCAACTCAACTTACTGATATGCTAGTCCAGATCCCGTCAATCCCAGGGTTCCATCCTGCAGAAGGGTCAATGACCCCCTTCCTCCTGAGCCCATCAGCACTCCTGACAAGTTCCCGTTGCTGTTGTTAGGTGAGATGTTGTTCTGAAGGTAGCCCAAGTCTACCAGTTTGGGATTATTGTTGTTGCTGCTGCTGATAGGAGGGGTTGTTGGCATGGAGATAAGGTCAATGGGGCTATTACAAGGGCTCTGGTTTGGACTGGTGCCACTACTTGTGTTGCTATGGCTACTGCTCATCACTAAGGAGAAACAAAGAACATTGAAAGTCACATTCTGGAACATTCTTGATTGGTCCATACTTCCTATGGGAACTTTGGAAAACACTTGCCTTTTAAAAAGCCTAGCCGTAGGCTCAGCTTTTCTTAAATTCTCTGGAGGACAGGATAAACGGTTGGCATATATTGCTGATATCATAACATTTGAGAGTATTTCAATTGGACAAACTTCTGTACCTCTGTCTTTGGTGGGACTTGAGAGCTGTCTGTCAATTTGAGAAGCTTGGGCAATGTGTTCCGTCAGCTCTTCTCCTCCACAGGAACTAATTAATTGAGCTGCCTTTGCTGCCATGTGTAGTCTCTGAAGCTCTGTTGATAGTAGGTCAGGATCTGCCTTAGTCAATCCTGGGGGTGGGGATGTTGGGTGTACCCTCTGTGGGGAGCTATGCGTGACCCTCTGTGCCTCTGTCTGGTGTGGGGTAGGGTATATTACCCTGTGTGGCTCCGGTTGTGACACTCTATGTTGGGGTATATATGTCAGCTGTTGTGCCATAGTGTTTTGTTGTATCGTCTTTGGTGCTTCAGCTTGTGGGTTTGCCCTCACTGCCGATGGGATAGCTACCTTATGTGGCTCTGTGTTTACCACAGTATTTGTCACTGGCAAGGCAGCTGATGATAAGATGTAAGCCTGAGTCGGCTCAGCTGCTGGACGAGTGACTACCTGCAGACTGGCAGCCATGTTTGGGGCTAGCTGGATGGGGGCTGATGGTGGATTGGCCAGGGGTGGAGGGGAAGTTGGTGCTGTGGTTGGGGTGAACAGTGGGTTGGCACCTAGGTGCACAGGGGGGCTCACATTAGGGTTCAGGGCAGGATTGGTAATGGGTACTGGGGTGGGGTTGGGAACAGGGTTAAGGGATGGAATGTGGGTTGGGTTCTGGACTTGGTTAGGGAAAGACTGGAGGGTGCCTTGACTCTGGAGGGTGCTCTGACCCTGGCAGGCGCTCTGACCCTGAAGGGCAGTCTGACCCTGGAGAGTGCCTTGACTCTGGAAGGTGTTTTGTCCCTGACAGGCACTTTGACTCTGGGGGGCGCTCTGACTCTGAAGAACTTTTTGATTTTGAAGGGCATTTTGGCCCGGCTGTACAAGAAGAGGCTTGATGGTCTGCTGGGAGATCAGAACTGGAGTTACTCCAGCAGGAAAACCTGCAACAACAAACAAAATAAACTTGTATAATTAATTCGGGTACAAAACAGCAATTACTAATGCAAATAAATATTAATTCATGATATCTTCAAATAGTCATACATCACACAGCCGGATTTAACTACCCATGGGCACCTTGCTTAATTGGAGTTTCCAAGGATCAATTATCTAGGGTTTTGTGGATGTGGAGCTATCCAATACCAGTACAAGACAGTAGCTAGTGATGGAATTGATGCCCACTTACTATGACTGAGTCCAGTAGATTGCTGGGATACAGCTGGCCAAGTCAACCCATTGGGTCCACTGACCGATGACCGTGGACTCTGTAAGGGACTGACTCGGGAGAGACCATTCACCGAGAGAAGATTGCTGGTGTTTATACTGACAAGGTTGGAGTTCAGAAGACCTGGAAGGAACATGAAAAAGATCCAAGTACATTTTATGAATCTGCAAGGGGAAATGGTTTAACAGCAAAAACACTGACACCGACAGGAACATAAGCAATAATGGAAGTAGATACATACAACAGTAGTAACAGATTAACTGGTACCCATGGATTCTTTGCATTGGTACTCATCATTAGGAGGGTACTTTCAAGCACTTTACTGATTCTGGCAACTGATGTCATGATAAATAACCTAATAAGCACAGCTGACAAGTGTAAAGTGTTGCAAGACACTCTTGGAATATGGTCCATGAATGTGATCTTACTGCTGATATCATGTACTGTCCACAGATTCTATTTAAAAATGCCATCTCTCTTTGCTGCAATGCAAACTACATCACTGCCAAGAGCTTACTAAGCTTTGTCAAATTGACACCTGAAAGTGGTAGCGACGTCCCATTCAGACCCCTTGTAGCATTACTGCAGTTAGCAGCACAGCTCTCACATTCCTGACCAAGTAGAATCTGTCTGGCTCGGTACATGCTGGGAGCATTCCTCTCAATGCTCTTGACTATAACAGACTGGAGAAGACAAAAAAAAACAAAGGAAAGTAAGGATTACTGGAACCTCATGCAATCCGGGAGAGATGAGATGCTGTTCATTTGTATTTGTAGTTCATCATTTACTTGCATGTGGTACTCCATACAAAATTAACCTCATGACATGATTCCTACTTCTACGGTCACTGCCTTATTGACATGACTTAGGGCCTACCTTGCTTGGTTGTCTTGGCTTGGGCTTGATACTGATGAAGACATCCAATTGCTCCATCAACTGTGCTAGTTTGGAGGCATCAATATCCACTTCCTCCTTTACATCAAACATCAGAACTAGAGGAAGACAGCCCTGGACAGAGATGCAAACCAAACAAGACAAGAAAACAGGGTAATTTGTGGCTCTTCTCCTAGTCAAAAATATGATTGCCATTCCAAATAAGGTCTGCTCTTTTGATGTTACAATCTTGTTTTACCTACTAGTGGTGTCTAAACTATGGTTAGCTGTCAGTGCAAAAGTAAAAAGTAATTCACAAAGTGTTAAAATCCCACGCAGATACATGCTGCTAAATACTAAATGAAAATACAACCCTATTTAAATCAACGAGACAATTGTCCATTTTGAACGAATTAAAAGGAGAATAACCACCCAAAAGATGGTATTTCTGTAGAGCCTGGCTGCCCATAGGCAAAAAGACAGAGGTCTATAAAACTTAAGCCCTGCCTCCGAAAATTCATGTGGAGATTCTGTGTTAACAGGAACCAATTCAAAGACGTAAAGCTGCCCTTTTAACAAACACATTTTATTTGTTTATTGTTGATCTTGTAGTTAGGGCTGCAGGCAAAAGATGAGCTTATGGAAAGGTGGGTGAAGCTGAATAATGACGCACCATGAGTAGATGTCTAGCTATGATGACAGAATCCACAGGTCCTGAGATAAACACCGTACTCTTCCTCTGAGCATTGTTGGGATCAGGGAAGTGGATGGTAGCGCCGGTTCCCTGCATGATCTGTTTCACATTCAGGCCACCTCGACCACTCATAAACTGATGGTGCTGTGGGGCTATCTCTATCTGTGTACTCACGGGGAGAGTCACCTGGGAACCAGACAAAAAGAATTCTATTCCTCACATTCCTGGCGTTTTTGTTAAGAACTTCCTGAATCTGCCAAACCTCCTCCACTTTGCAGTAAAACCAATGGCATCTTCTTTGCATTCATAAAGTTTCACAAATTGGTGAAGTCTTTCTTAATAACATTTTCACGGATCTCTTGAGTTTTTCTAAGTCCATGCTCCTACAGCAAGAAATCACAGGCCATTATTGAAACCTCAGCTTCAGCTTTGACGTACATCTTTGACTTTGGAGATGTGAGCTCTGCATGTTCTTTTTTGGGGGGGAACCAACTTATACATTTTGAAGCTCTCTACAAATACAACAAGCACCAACCATGATTTGTTTCCATCCAAATGATTTCCCCCAGTTGAACTTACGCCTATGTTTCCAATGAGGTGTTCCATCAACCGCATGGTGCCTTCCTTGACTCCCACTGCATTACTGCTGGATCCCCTGACTGTAACTGTGGTGGAATAGCCTCGTGCCCTCTGCTTCATGTTAACACCAATGTTGTAGAGCTGGACAATCTGTTGGATGGTTGGGGAGTTGATGTCTGGTGTGGGGTTGTTAGTGATAGGAAGCTCAAAGACCAAGACCAGTGGCAGAAGCTCCTAAAATCCCAGGAGACAAAGTAATATCAACCCTAAGTCATAAAGTCAATTTATGTTGATCACATCCTTCCTTAATCCTACAGCATGTCCAAAATAAACCAATGTGTAGGAAAGAAGAAGAACCACCAAGCTGTTGGAGCACCAGTACAGTATTCCTGCGGTCCCAGGTTCAAACCCACTCCGGTTAATTCTTTGTTCATTTTTATAATTAAAATGCAAGCACACGCACAGAGTCCCTATTTGGTTTGTCTGATTACAGAGACTGAATTCACACTACACAATGTGCATGTACTTACACATATATGTATAACTTACATTCTGAATGGGGTCGAATGATGCATGGCATAGGTACATGTACCTATCCATGCATCGTAAGACCCCTTGTTAAAAGGGTAACTTTTACCACCTATCATGACCTGTTGAATAGGTCATTTACTCTGTAAAAATCACAACTCTGTATTCAGCCTTGCAAGATGTATAATAATGTCAGTTCAGAATCCATATGCAGGGAACCGTTCATTTTTATGGAACCTATGTAACAATTGACATCATCACAAACTGTGCCCCAACCTCATGGAATGACCCACATTTACTGTAGTACAATGCTCTATGCACGATGTACATGTAATATAAAACACATACCACATACAAAACATGCACAGAAATATGAGACATACATGTACAATATAATTCACCAGTCTGAACTTTTTAAATACACATATCTGCTCCTTTAGGGCAGCTTAAAATGACTCATTCTATCAATCCTGGGTAGAGAACTGTCCATGGATGACCTCGGGTGACCCAACTCTAACCACAGGGTATCATCAGGGCAAAGTGTTGCTTAGCAACAAGGTATAAACAAACCCCTCAACAATCTTCACCATTTGTAGTGATAATAGGTTGTGTTCCCTGGCCCCATTGCTAGAGTGTTGTGGCTTTCTTTTTCCAGGTTGCCTTATTGTGGCTTGTGGTTTAAAGTTTTAAATTCATCATCAATCTCCAGGGGTTATTGTTGAGCCAAGAACAAGACTGTTGGGCTGTACAATGTACATCTACCATGCCTTTATGTAAATGTACACTGTACAATTGTACATACATGTATTGTGTACACCATGATATGTACATGTAAAATGTAAAATGTAGGACGACTATGCACACAACAGAATAATAAATGCTATATACAATGAAATTGAGATAAGGGAGTTTCACTTTCAGTGGTGGAAAACTGCTTATAGTGGAATGCCAACACAAGTGCATCTGCTAAATTTCCCTCCAAGTCCTGGAAGTTAGAAGTTAAAGGTGATGCAGTACAAAATGAAAATCAAATTCTTTTCCATGTCCACTGATTACATGTAATTAAAATAAAGAGGGACTTATGACAGGAAACAAGTAGTTTGGGGCTCCTAAGAAAGGAGAATTCTGTTGCAAAGGCTCGGATCTTTGAGGGCAGACTTACCCTAACTTTTGCCCGTGCCTGCTCTACTCCCCCTATCTGACCAGCTATGGAGACTTGGTTACTTTTCTCTTGCTGAGAGCCTCGGTTGGAATCCGGAAAGTGAATATGGCAGCCTGTGTCCTGCATGACTTTCTTGATGATGTTACCTCCTTTACCAATCACATGGGAGTGTTCGGTGTAGGAGACGTCCATTTTTAAGGTGACTCTATTACTCTGTCGGAGGGCAAAACAGGTGTGTTCAGAAATTTAGAAAGTTAAAATGTGTTAGTGCCACATGGAATTAAAAAAGTTAAATCCCTTGTGTGTCTTGATGGCATTTTACAGAGTAACTCAAGTCAAAGTGGTAGACAAGATGCAAGTCAACTCATCTTGTAGGATAGTACATGCACATGTAGTGGTAAACCCATAAAGAGAATTTTAATGTGTACTTTCAGTTGAAACAAATTGTGTGCAGTGAACAAACTAGTCAAAAGCAAACATTCCAGCACCAACTACCGTACTTGCAACGTTTCTCCTTAACCTCCCATGGGAAGATACATAAATTTACAGGTAAATTCTAATATAACAAAACTATTCAAATGTAAACGTATAGTGAATGAAGAACCACTACCTACCTTTGTGTCTAGGACTGCCATGATTTTATCTTTGGCTGTGACTACGTTTTCAATTTTCCCTGTCACTTTGATGTGGGGATCTGTGAAGAAATACAATCATAAATGAGCAAAGATATAAGGAACAGTAAAAAAAAAAGAGGAATTCGTGCTTGAGTGACCCAAATAAGGCAACATTCTAAACTGGAGCAAAAGTGTTCAGACTCAAAGGTGAGTTTGTAAGTTTCCTCCCAACATTTTCCTATTTTTTTTTCCTTCACAGAAATTCAATACAAATCCAACTGCCTAACTCGTATGGCGAGTACAAGTACTGTACCTTCATTCTCAAACTGCGGTATTTTTGTTACTGGCTGACACATCCTGTGGTCATCTTCAAGGTACTGTCTTGCATGTATGTCTACCATTTATCAATCATCTCTAGTTCCTCTACACACAAGCTGACTGGTTTGATGTCAGTTCTCTCCAAATGGGTTCAAACTTTGACCTCATCAACAGAAGGCTTAAAGTTGCAGGTGGTGGCTCAGCAAATCAGTTCAAGTGAATTCTAACCTTGTCCTCACTCAAAAGTTGACTACTTTCAAGAGGGATTCAAACAGTTTATTTCATCCAAATTTACTTTAATGGTTACTCCACGGAAACTTGGATCAAGAAAGATTTGAAACCACCGAGTCAAGGCTTTCTGCTGATAAAACTGACCAGTGAGCTCTATTCCACATCAGAACTAACTATTGAGACTACTTGGGGATCCTTCGGTATACGCACAAGGCAATTGTCTCAATGACGCCAAGATGGACCATGGAGGGAAGGAGATGCAACTTCACACAGTACAGATCAATACAGAAGAAGCTATTGACTTTCAACTTCAATTTCTCATCAATTCTGGTATGTTATCAATTCATCATATTAGTGGCAACGACAGACTCCTTCAGTCACCATAAGCTGAATGCCACTATAAGCACAAACTGGAGTATTTGTAGACAGACAGCAGCAAAACATTACTACCGGTTGCAGATCTGTAAACCACACAAGAAGCAGTGAGCACACATGAGTTCCTCTCTCTACCACCATTCACTGTGCACTGACCCCAGCAGGCGTTGACTTGTCGCTTTTGTGTATCCAGGGATAGGTATTAAATCAGCGCTGCTGTTTCTATTCATCAGGACTTTTTGTGGTTAGAGGCCAATTCCTTTTAAAGGTCTGCTTGACTACAGGTAAATGAACTGAGAGGAAAGTAAAGGTTGTTATCTACCCTAACAATAGCAACAGGATTTAAAAAGGCCTACATCCAAGAAGGACGAGAATATTGACAATGGGTGAGACTAGAAGAATTGATCAAAGACCAAGACACATACAAGACTTGCTCACTTCAGACATCTCCAGATAAAGAGGTTGCCTGTGTCTTGCAACACTCGAAATAGAATATTTTTCAAGACAATGCTTGGGAGTTGTTTGAAAGTGTGGCGTGAGACGTGAATTTTGTGACTTCCTTGTTTTGGTGGATGAATGGATCTCCACCACTGCCTGCCAATGGGGGGGTCGAACGTTCAGCAGTCTTCAGTGACTCAGTCCATTAATTGTCCCTTCATCAAATCGGCTTTGTAGCAGGGGAGGCTTAGCGTGTTCTTGTGGATGTAACAATCAAGTCGCCCATCATCTCTCTTAAACTGCCACAGAGATGTGAACAAATCCTGTGTGCAATGGAGGTGAATGTGCCAGAATACAGAGGAAGAAAAATGATTTCCTCCTCAGACAGAGCTGGAGGCGGAAGAAAGAAGCAGGCTTTTTGGAGGTTGTTTGGAACACAGAATCAGGAAGTACGGATGAGTGAAGTAAGGAGACACAGGTGTGTCTCACCCATAAAGTAACATTGATTTGGATGGTTTGATAATTTGATGAAAATAATCACTCTGGCCAACTTTGTTCCCATGTTTAAAATCTCAAAAATAAAACTGAAAAAAATTTTATTAAAGGAAAAAAGCCCATTAAAATTTTCTGGAAACACCCTGATAGACTTTGAAGGATTTCTTGGACATTTTGAATATTTTCAAGCAAGTTATGATTCAGGAAATTAAACAACATTAATATTGACGGGATATTTTAAGTAAATGTACAGTGACTCAATAAATGTAAGTGTGTGACGATTGTTGATTCAGAATCCAAAATGTCAGCAGTTGGTACTACAATTGATAGAATTTGTATCAAGAAGATGTAAACTTCAATATTTGTAATGCCCTTTAGGTAAAATCAGAAGCAAACTTCTAATTGGCACCATCCTGATTACAGAATTCTATTCATGGCCAACCTGCCCACATTTACATGTACATGTACATCACATGAGGGGATAACTTAAGACAACCTTAATCACAGGGAAGTAGAAGATGAAAGCGAGAAAAAAAACAGGTCGTTAGTATACTGCACTGAAGGCCACAAGAGACAAATAATTCCCGCAATTACCTAAGCAGGGGGACAGGAACACATGACAACAGGAAGCATACAGGATTTTTTCCAACTGTCACTGACTGCACTCAATGAAGAACGAGACATTCAAGTTGTGACACCGTCTGGTATGGAAACTCAATGTTCATTTGACTTTAGCAATGTACAAATAATGTACTGCATAAGTTCTATGCACCTCCATCTAAAGCTTATTTTTAATAGGCCTGTAGTTGTTCTGTGTAAATTTAAAGTAATGGGGCCTATAGCTTTCACCAGAACCCCTGAACCAAACATAAAGTTGACATTTCACCATGCCTCAGCAGCACTGTCTGTAAGACATAAAGAGCAGATTTCAGCCACAACAGAATATGTAGGGCTAGACAGCAGACCTATTCAACAATTTTGAAATATAAGCCAGGTTGATTTTGAAATGTAAGGGTGTCATTTTCTATCCTTGTTAATGTCAATTTCTCCTTGATTACCACCAACCTGAGAAAAACCACAAGTAAACAAGATTACAGTTTATTCATCCAACATCCTTGAACCAAACCTAGATAAAGGGTTCAGAGGCTGACAAAATTCCTGGCCAAAATATGATCTTTTGCACTCAAGTTCATTTACTTTTAACGCCCAGGCATTTGATAGGCTGTAACCACACTATACAAAGCAGTCCACGATGCACAATGAGCGGTTCCATGCATGCCAGTTCCATGATGTCACAACTGGACATGTTATCAAGTTTATATTTGACAAACTGGGGAATTACCTTATGCTTAAAGGATGATGACTGTTAACATAATCCCTACTTGCATTGATAGGGGTCAAAGTACAGAAAGTTGCTGATATGTGGAACAATATAAAGCAGGTAATCACTGCGATGCGATAGAGGTCACATGACATGCTGGTGCTATTCTGAGCCATGACTACATGTACATGAATCTACCTGTAGGCTGTACAGTCGACGTACATGTCCACCACCACACTCTATGAAGAAACAGTACAATGAGACGCAAGTGGAGGTTTCATTAAACACAAAGGAAATTTGGCTACTCCTTTGTACATGTACGTAATTAAAACTATCTTTTCATATACGTGCAATGTACATGTATTTGCAGCCCTCATCAAAATCCCCTTCAAAGATTGCCTAAGGAAACTGCCTCCTCTTACGACCTCTTGCAATGGCCTTCTCCTATTCTCAATTCTGTCTTCACCTCTCTATAAATGAATGAAAGCATTTCTGATAATCCAGTGACTCAGCTCTAGACCACGAGTTACATTATCCCTACTCTGAATGAACATGAAAAGCCTAACCAAGAAATACTTCATGCGGGATGTCCCTTTAAACAAGTCTTTCAATAGAAATTGCATCAACCACACTAGCCTCTCTGATGACGCTTTACCCAAAGCCACGTATGCGGAGCCTTGACTTGCACAGTATATGTACGTGTACATGTACAGTACATGTACTCCTCTCTCACTGAAAAAAGAAGAGGTTCAGAGAAGTCCTGACGAGATTCAGTCAAGTGGAAAAGGACAGGGTTTGGAGAAAAGAGATAACAGACCATGACAAATTGTTATTCAGACATAATTGTTATTGGCAATAGGGTCTGCTCTTTTAACGTAACAGTCATGCTTTTCCTACAAGTGAATGCTGAATCTATAGTTGGCCGTTGTTGAGTATAACAATAATTCACAAAATGTTTAACATCCCTTGCACAGTAGCTGCCAAAGCAACAGATAGATAATAACACACATTACAAAATACTAAATGACATTAAATCTTTGTTTCAAATCAATGAGACAAAGGTCCACTTTGAATGAATTTGAGGTAATATAAAAAAACTAAGATGATATTTCTGCAAATTTTGGCCACTCATACAAGTTGTAGGCAAAGCATATATAGTGGCTGACCATTACATCATCAGGTAATGTTCCATTGCTCCTTGTTTTACCATTGAACCCATTATTATACAAACATATACATGCATGGAAAAACTTGGATTACTCTCAGATGCTAGAGACTAAGGGAAAAGTGTTTTACCCTCACACTTACACAGTTCTGAGTTTGAAAATCAGAGCATCATTCACACAAATCCAGAGAGATCTATCCGTACAGGTACATATCTGAACCATCTACACGTACAGTGCATGCTATATGGACATCCATACAAAAATGTGATCTTTGTTCAACAAAGCCAGCAACAATTTCTCAGAGTCCCAAAAATGAACAAAAAAGGCCCCCCTCCAAAAAAATGGGTAAAAGAATACAAGCAGGAAGTAGCAAGACAATAGTCATTCAAACAAAGCAAACCCACAAGCACTTGAGCAGAGAGACAAACAATAGGACCGCCTGGCACTCCAGTCAACAATCAGGCCATTCATTCTCAGCTCAGAGCTATGCTATGACTCAATCCTTCATTATTGACAATAGGCGCTCAAGAAAATAAATACAGAATGCTGTTGACTCTCACCAAAGGGGCTTGAATGCGGTATATAAGAGTTATCACTCTTTGGACCAAAGCCAGTTTATTGGACGGGAGACAATGCAGGGATGACAGGGATTTTTCTTGCTTGAGGACAGTCTCATTCACACACCAACTTGAGACTGTATCGGAAGTTAACTTTATCCGAAAAAGAAACTGATCAAAGTAGTCAGAAAAATCATTTCCGTCAAGACTCCATCCTCATTACTGACATCTCCCTTCATTAAATGGTGATTTTTCAAAACAGACTCTTCAAGGTGAGTATATTGACAGACCAATCAACATACTGTGAGCAGAACCTCCTCCCAAGTGATTCTAGCCTTGGGTATCTGACAGCTGTTTTTAGGAATCCCATGAGCCATCTGGACATATTTTGAAAATACACCTCTATTTTCACTCCACGGCAAATAAGGAAATCCAACATTTTCATAAGCTAATCAAATTCCTGCCCCAACAAAACCCGCATTTCTATCCTTGTCCCTATTTAAAGATGTCTTAAAATCAGTAATTCTAAGACTGCTGTAACAATACTGCAACATTCTTGTACCAGGAACTGCGTATAGTTGTCCTAAAAAAAACCCATAATTCCTCAACTTTTCTTTAAAAATGCAAATTATGGGTTAACATATTAAATATTAGCTAGGGAAAAACACACAATGGGCAAGAATGCTGTCAAAATGACTGATAAGTCCTATGCTTTATTTTAAAAAGGTATAAAACCCCACTGTTTGATGACCAAAGCTAGTTTGGGACAGGTATTGCTTCAAAAGAGTTACTGGTCAATCACATACATGTATTTTATACCATTGGCTATTCTAAACTTGTTCACTGGCGTGGGAAAGAACACATCAAAGCAACGACAGGTGCACACAAAAGCCTTTGCTGCATCACAATGTCACAAAGTAGGCATTACCAAGACAAACATAATGGTGGCAGTAGCATAAAACCATTACACCACTGTCATAGAAATTCTGTGTCTAAGAGCTCAGACAAGAGCCAAAATCAGACTGCCTGAACCGAGCAACAAAGCCAGAATAAAGGGAAAGAATCAACTTGTAAACAATTGTATGCATTGTGCCAAAATGGAAGCAAAAAGCCATTAAATTGGTTTCGGCTGAACAGTTTTACGTGTTTGGGCTGGTGGTGGGTTTCAATACAAAAAGTAGTCACAACAACTTTTTTGAGATAAAGATTGATTGCATTTGTTGGAATAGAAACGAAATGGAAAAGCGGCCTCTTTTATCCTTTATGTTCTTTAGTCATTTGTTAAAATCTTCAAACCTACTTTCAAATCTAACTAGGTATTGTGGTTGACGACATAGGGGTGGGTGATTGTCTCACAAAAACATCTTTGCGGGAACTTTCTTCAGTGACATAATGCAATTATGACAGAATATTCTGGTTTCAGTTCCGGTTTCTTCAAATTACAATGTACATGATGTATCTGATCCTGCTTTAACTCTTGAGAGTGGACCTTTTGCATGGGAGTCATTTTGGAGGAACCAGTGCATTCTGTGTTCATATTTCACAGTTAAAGTTATCAGCAGTTACATCCCACATTTAAGATATCTCAGTACACTTGCCTCTTTTACCCCTGTTCAGCTGGAGTGCATAATATGTCACTGCTTCTCACATGTAAGCTCCTTTATATATAATCATTTGGACAAATACACCGTAGCTATCTCAAACACAAAAGAAGTTAACTGATTCCTCTCTCACAAGTGTCTATCACAAGTGTCTATTAAATTTTTTTTAAGGGCAGCAATTGTGGTAAAGAGCATTGCCTGAGAACACAAGTGCTATAATCCTATGGCTGTATTACCAACTTTGCACTTGACACTGTTTTGTTAGTTTTGGCTTACCTTTTTTTGATTTTGCTCCAATCTTTAATTTGGAAGGCCACGTGATGCGTGTGTCTGTTTCTTGCATTATCTGAAATGTTACGAAAATCACTCTTTAATGATTTTTTTTAAAATGAAATGACATCTTGGATGAATACGAATTTGCATTGTTTGATAAGAATCGTTCATAGGCTCAGAGGTTAAGTACAACTTTACAACGCACAGGGCATTCTGGTTACAGGCTGAAGATATTCATCCTTTAGCTTCATGCACCATGTATGGTCTTAAAATTTAGAATGGCACTAAATGACCAGCAGAGGGCCTCCTACAATTTCCAAAGACAGTGTAAATGTGAAAACTGATAAAAAGCTCAAGATATAAGTCCTTCATAAATTGCACCCCTAATCCTAATATCTCTATGATTCCAATGGCCATGGGCGCCTAGCTCCTCGCATGTCTCTGTTTGACGTGGAAAAATAAAGAGCCCCATCTAGGGGCTCGGTGGATCACTGCGTAATTCATTATTTCAAACTAGTAATTTGTTATTCCAAATTAGTGATTTGTTATTTCAAATTAGTAATTTGTTATTTTGAATCAGTAATTCGTTATTCTGCATTAGTAATTCATTAAAACAAATGAGCGTCAGGCTAAAAATTTATACTTCATTATTCATAGGCATGATTGGGCTTTCGTAGTATACATGTACATCCTGTACATGTACTACATGTACATGCTGTACATGTACACTGTAGGCATGTATCCCTGGCATCAGGTTTCCTAGAATCACAATCATGTTATATATGCAAATAAGACTCCCTAGGGGACAGGGAATTAACAGTTTTGGGGTCATCTTAGTACAACCAGGGAGGTCAAGGCTGGCTCCCCTCACAGTTCTGACTGATGTGTAATAGACTCTGAAAGTAAAACTTTAGCAGAATGTGGCTCAATACAAGTACATGTGCACGGATTTATAGAATGTACTGACTACACTGCCACTGCCACAGAATGGCCCCAAATTTGTCCCTACCTGGTTGGCTATGACAATTATTTCATGACAGCCAATATTTCAAATGTTAGCTTCTCAAATGCAAACTTTTCCAGTTTTAACTGGACAACAGGCTCTGTACTGCAAAAGATATTTGTTGCACTCAGGAAAGTGATCATCTTGAACAAATCACTGAGAACATATCATATGTTTGCTGATGACACTTTCAAAAATTGCATGATGAGTTTTTTACCATACAATGAAGATCATAAATCATCATACATGGTCAATGGTCAAAACGAATACTTCAACACAGAGCTACTGAAAACCCGAACTGTACTTTTGTGAAATATTGTTGGCGTCATGCAGACAATCACATCAGATAAACAAGGTAGTTGAGTGGGTATTCGTGTCACTGAACGCAGTCCCTGTTGAATGCGGTTTCAAGTTTCATTCACACTGCGCAAGCAAAATTGACAGTGACGGCTGCTGTGATACAGGGTGAAAAACTAGAAATGTAAATTCAGCAAAGAGACATGTGATTGTCTGGTTCAATACTGGTGAGCCTGTAACACCATTTGTGTGTATCCAGTTACTGATTAATTCTGAGTTGGTGGACATGTTTTGAACTTTGTATTGAACTCTGTGGGTCCTGTTGGTCTGTGAGTATGATTGGACTAAAGAAGTTGAGAAGAGCTTTGAGAAAGGGAACACCAACATACAGTTAGCAGTGAAAAAAGACTTCAATATGGATAGATCAACGTAAGACAAGTGAAGGTTTCATCAAACAGAGAATTTAAGGGTAGAAAAATTGATTTAAATCAAATTGTCATCTTTGAAGTTGAAGCTAAATGATTAATACGTAGACGTACACGCACCGTATGAAAATAAATGTGGCTGAAAAACAAACAGTAATAAATTAATGTACTTAAAAATTATTGCCATCACTTAGTTTCATATGAAAAAAACTAGACCCTGCTTATTTATTATACTGGTGTGGAGTATAGCAGATGGCGCCCTCATTTGGCCTAATTAAGAAAGTGAATTTAGACATTAAAATATCTTTCCCTGCTTCCCCACTTTTCCTTTCTCTTTTGTTGGGGGGGGGGCAATGACAGGATACTCAAATCTTTAAGCTATGCAGTCCTCTCTCTACAAACATATGGTAGGACGATGTAGAAAGATTTGATGTTGAAAGCTGCACAGTACAATGGTAACAGGTGTTAATCACATCCCAATCCAGATGTGCAATACATTTGGGATAGGAGTAGAAAAGGTTTTATAATAGCCCTGGGGATACTCAACAACCTAACGGTCATGGTCCACTCAATCACGAATTGGGCAATGCCTATTCACATCAGTCTGGCACATTTTAAAAGATGCATTAAATATGGTATTTTTTTCCTTTAAATTACTGCACTGACAGTTTCTAAACGGCAAATTGTGGCCAGCAACATTCCATTTACAAATACTTTTCTTGACTATTTAATACAAAGTATCTCATTTTGATCAGAAACACAGAAATGAAAAAAAAAAACAAACCCCAACTCATTTCCTGGTAGGGGACATATACATATACTTGGGTATGTTAAGCAAAAAACAACCAATTTAGAAAACACTTGTAAGTGTTCAAGTATTTTCAACTCTTTCAAATGTGCATGTCCAATATTGTGCCTCCATTCTCAACGTTCATGGAAGAGGCATGATTCAAAATGTTTAGGTTCAACTCCTCTCTTCAGATTGGAAACAAATATGCCAGCATTCCATACTACCACTTGAATAAGACAACAGCCAACTGTGATAAATTGAGTGTCACTTGGTTATCATATAGCTCTGGCTCCAATTCTTGACTTCAGAGTGACCCTGTGACCTCTTTGCAACCTCTGCTAGAAGTGCTCCATCTTTCTCAGCACACCCACAGTTGGCAATCTGTTCATCAGTTTTGGTTTTTCTTCTTGTTTTTTCCCTTGTTGAACTAATGCTGTGCAGTTCTAAGCATACATTCATCTACAGTTATCTTTTCAAATAAAAACTCCCACATGCACGTACATACGTTTATATATTATTCTGTTATTTTTTCTATACTTGGGAGTGGAAGGATTTAGTACTTCTGGGATCTGACAGCAGTAAATATTAGACACATCGTACAGTGATCATTAATTGTGCATAGTTCATGTGTACATTTTGGCATGGACTATCCTGAGTTTTCTACAGAATGTGCACAATTTGCATGACATGTGCACTTGATGAGCACAATAAAGTTATAAACATAATTTGAGAGCATACTACTGAGTTATAGCAGATTCCACAGGTCTGTTTGGCAATTACTGTACATCGTCTTTCCCCAATACATTCAAAACAGAAAAATGTGGAAAACTGAAAAACCAAAAATTGACCATGCATGCACTGCTTTTGACACTGATTATCATCAATGCATGGTTTCCTGACCCCTTTCCCTACAGGACAACAGTCTAAAACAAACAACCATCCTACCCCAGACAGGGTCCCTTGTCCCCTGGGGGGAGTCCTTAAAGCACTCCCCCTGGGATATGCTCTCCAAGGGAGGGCAACTGTAGATCAGCAACTGTAGGATATACCACTGACCTCATTATTAAGGGGGGTGGATTAACGCTAGCCAGACCTACATTTGTCAAAGACAGGTGTCAAAATGATGACAAACATTCTATGCAATTCTATTTTCTCCCCAAATGTTTTCTTGCGATACTGAATGTGAATTGGCATCAAACAGGTTTTTTTGTGTTTATTTAACACTCCTATGCAAAGATGCATTCCCCACAAAGTTGTCCTATCAGTCAAAATCAGTCAAATGACCCCTGTGTGTCTGTGCACTGTGGCAACTCAAGAGGAAGGAATTTTTGACTGAGACTGTTACAGCGATGTCTTTATGTCTGCACAATTTTTTAAAGTCTTTATTGTTTTTTCCCCCAAACTACAAACATTTCTTAATCAAAATGAGGCAGATCTCACTGATACCTACCCGCTGGAAAAATTCTTCACCCGTTTCAGCTTTCCCATCTTGCGCAGCTGCAGGAAACACAAATAAAAAAAAATGTAAATAATACCAAACTTTAATCGATTGAGAAAAATCATAATCAGGAATACAAGAAATATCACTTTTTATGTGTATTAAAACAATCTTATTTGCTTTCTAGAATTCAGCCAGTGACTGGTACTTTTCTCAAATAATGAATTCATACAATGAATGAATAAACTGAAATGAAAATTTAAAACTTTTGGAATTTATGAATTTTTCATTTTTCAATGAATTTATAAAATTGAATTTATCATTTAGTTGGTTCTTGCTTTACAGATGACTGACAGATATCTTTGGGAAGCACTGGTATATATGGTGTATCTGTCCTGGACAAAGATACATCTGATATCCTATCAACCTCAAACACATCGTGCAATGGTCCATTATGGAAAATTATATGACAGATTTGTAAATTTGAAGCCTTGTCACGCACATGTACCGCAGGCTCATGAAGGACTTCACCAAATGGTAGAGCTTTATCGTGGATCATCTTGCTCAACTAATTTTGCAGCTCCAGCTCACAAGCAGTAAACAGTGGAAGCACAAAGGGTCACAACTTTGGCAAAGCTTGGCCAAGTGTTGATAAAATCCCCTACTTCATTTTCAATGAACTAATCCGAGTTGTTTGCAACCTCTCCAGCTTGTCCAAGGAGGGATTTAGGAATGACCACTGCTTGGTTGATGATGAAGTGAGAGTGAGCCCTCTAGTAGTTGGTCCTGACTAGGTTTACCTTGAAGTCTGTGACTCAGAGTCAGTTACGACATTTTGTCATGTTATTCTCATCCACCCAGTTTAAGGTATGAATGATGACACCAACTTACAAAGGGCACAGGCAAACATTCTATTCAGAATGCAACAAGAATCCATTTGCATGAATTAATTATACACCATTACTGCTTAAGTTTCTCTGACAAACAGAAAATATAATCACAAACCTATCAATGACAACCATTTGACAGAGTTTGCACTGGTCAACGTACAAATAGCATCCTGCGTACAATGCTGATTTCATTTCAAGCTGAAAGAACTACTTTGTTCACATAACATTCTTTAACAGTTCACTTAGACGCGTAACAAGGATACTAAATGCATGATCACACTGTGGGTGTGCTGGTGTTTATGTGTCCTCTTTCCGTTTGTCTGTTGGTTTTATTTTGCTTTTATGGGTTTGAATGAAAGAATGAAAATTGAACACAAACCAGAAGTAAAAATGCATCCAAAGTAAACCAAATTGGGTCTTGTCTAACTGTAAATAGTCATACATAAAAATTACTTTAAGTTAACTCAGGCTACCTCATTAGCAAACATCTGGCAAAAACCATTCTTGAGTGTTTTGCTTGTAATGCAATGGTGTGGTATTTGTGTTGCAAACCACAATGCAAGGGTGTGGAGATTACTGTCCATAGGGGGTAGATGGTAGGCAAACTGCCCTGTTGGAAGGTGTAATATCTGTCATTGTTTGTCAATGTTTCAAGACAAACTCTAGCCAGACTATCCCTGCCACAGCACGTGATAAATTACGTTTATAATGTCTGTAACAATGTTGATGGCAGCTTCACACACATTTTTTGAGGATCTGAAGAAAGCTTCTAAGTGAATTGGTAGCACGCTGCTCAGTGGGTTACTGCTGCGCTTCAAATTTTGAGGTTCTTCTAGAGGAAAGCTTAAAAGTGAATTGGTACCCATGCTGCTCATTGGGTTACCGCTGTGCTTCGTGTGGTTAATATGGCCATTATTTATAACCACTCTTCGAGTTGTTGATGTGGTTAACACCAATAAAATGTACCAGATATAAACTTGATTTTTTTTTTACAGAAGTCTCTGCTGGACAAGAAGTGACATTCTGAGCAGACATTCTGAGCAGATAAATCAGTTTTAATTTTGCCCACATGTAACTGGTTATTTTTGTTCTCATTTTGTGTTCTCAAAACACAAGAAATTCATTATCCAATCTATAATATTGATACTGATTTTTTTATTCACTGATCACTTTCTTTTCCTTTTCAGATAGAACAGAAAGATAGAAAAATACTTGAAAGATAAGGCCCCCTGAAGCAAAACTTTAAACCAGCCAACACAGAGGACCTCAGCCCTGTTGCGTAACAATCCCCATATATCAATCCATCCAGTGAGTACCTCAGAACTCCTTTGCCCTTCTAACCTCATTGATTTCTACTAATATTTACCTCTGGGCAGCTTTAGTTCGGTTGGCACAAACTTGTAGTGACTGAGGTAAGCTGAAGACTCAAATTCAAAGAAAACATCCTAATGTAAATACCCATAAGCAAGAAGGGTAGATACAGGCCAACCTTTTGTACATAATTCATTATGTTAAATCTTGTGGCTGATTAAGCCTGAAAGGAATTCTGAGTATGTCTTCCTCAGTTCCAAACATTTATGTACAAATGTACTGTACAATCATTGCCATTACTTACAGTTCTGATCCTGTCATCCGGCTACAAACTAATCAACATGGATTAAATATAATTAGTTCCGTTGCTAGGGAAATCTACAGTTTTAATGCCAATTTTACAGGTTTCAAACCTTAATGTATAATCTACATCTACACACGATGTACATGTGTATAATCCCAGACAAAACATTTGTTGCAGGCTTGCAAATTCCAAAGAGAGCACTAACAAGCCCCCCCTAATTCAATGTCTCAGCAACATTTTTCAAATCTTTGTGGAAGCATGGAGGTAGGAATTGTGAAAGTCATTTTCAGCTGTGGCATGAACTTTGACACTTGAATTTCAGTAAGGACTTTGTAAGATCATCTGTATTCTCTGATTACATGATGTACCAAAATGCAGGATACTTCAAACGTGAGGATTTCTTTTTAGAAACACTTTTCATTTGTTTTTCATGAACACTACACAGCATGCACATGGCAAATGTTTACACTCATAAAAACCTGGCCAAGGACTCTGCTTTGCCATTCCCGAGGGTGTTCGCTGGTCACAACAAAGCTGTAAATAGTTCTCAGCTTATTGAAGTCTATTGATTGGTCTGGCTTGATCTGACTGGCTGAGTGTGGTTGGAATGCTGTTAGCAAGTAATTGAAGAGAATTAATAATTCAGTGGAGAGGTAAGATCGCTCCTACCTTTTGGGAGTGACATAATGTGAGCTTTTAAAACTTGTGTCTTGTTGACACCTCATTAATTTCAAGGTTAACCCTAACAGTCCTCAGTCCTCCAACAGGTGAAGGATTGAGGAGTGTTAGGGTTAAACCTTCCCAGTTGTAATTATCCTGAAATCCTATTCCACAATAATGTAGTTTAGTTCAGGGCAACTTGCAGTTGGTGTCATGACATATGTATAAATACATACAGATGAATACATCTTTTCTTTTCAAAGCACGCTGAATTTGACTACAGGAGCATACACATGCACATATACACATACTGGAGGAGGTACACATGTTTGGTATTCCATGAAATATATCATCATTAAGTGGTCCATGTGAGCATTGTTTGTCTGTCTCCAGGCAGTAATCAAGTCCGTTCAAAAAGCCAATTTTTGTAATTATTCCGCTTCTATTTTTTACTTTAGTGACAAATCCTTGACTTCATGGATAGTGAGCAAGTCCCATTGGTATTTACCCAGCTGCACTAGCATGAATTGACTTTAACGGGGAACAAAACCATGATGGAGACTCCAGTCAAATCAGCTAAGGTCAAGCTTCGTTACCAGCCTCTCCCGAAGTCCCAAGAATAAAAGAAACACAATACGATAAAATTGACTTGCAGCAGCTACAGAGGCAAGACTATGAGCCACACAAAAAATGGAAGCATTGCCCAACTATGACACATCAAAATTCATCTCAGAAATACACTGTATGCCTTTCTGGAATGAATATTAAATGACTCACAAGTGTAGCTTTTATTTTCAAAGTGTATTCTCCAGGATTTCCTCCTTTAAATGCCAATTTTTTTGTCCTGTGTGTCTGTTCAGGTACTGTAGGGCGTTGCCACCGAAAGTGTAATTCAATTGAAGAGATTTCTGGTTTCTGACCAGGCATTATGACCACAAATGAGTTGTGAAAGCTTTACAAAAGGCCCGCTATATGCTAAGCAGGTGACAAATCCCTGGGTTAAAGGCTAAGCCAGGTTCCTTTCTGCCACTGTGTGTTCAAGTCTCCCGATAATACACCCAGGAACTGAAATGACAAAATGGGTTGGGATTTTTTTCCCTTCTCTTTCGTCAGGTATTCCTGGGGGGGGGGAGTAGTTTTGGGAGATCTGCAAATATGCACAGCAGTTTTGTTCCTGCAATAACTTGTATGGAATCTTTCATGGGTCAGTAGATCTGGGTTGCTATGTTACTGGGAGGTATTTTACAACCAAACATCAATGTTTTGCTGACTGCAAAAGGTTGTTTCACACGAGACGAAACCGTGGAGGTCCTGTGCTTGATAAAATTGCATCCATGTCATGAAATTGCATATCTGTGATGTGTGAAAGTGACCCTTGCGAAAAATTACCAAGGTCCTTGGTTTTTGATCTCTGAGGTCCAAACCTCCTCCAAACTTTCGCACCTTTGTCAAAATTGCAGCGAGTGTGTGTGAAACGTGCGCGGTGTTCATAACCACGGACCCTGGTTTTGGCATGCGCATTGTGTGTTTGCAATAATAAAGATGGCTACATTCGAGGAGATATTGCTTATGCTTCTTCTGTGCAGTTTCATGAGAATTAAAAGTTCCTCGAAATCAAAGATAAGTAGTACAAGTGCCTCCCTTCGATGCTGGACATACGAACATAGCACATATCAGGACGTATGTTCACATATGTACAGTGTACATGAACATATCATGCACGCGGGAATCTCGGTGGTAACCTACATATGAACGTACTGTGGACAGTTATTGCACACAGTACCAGTGAAACAGTGAATAAATAATCGTGACCCTTGACCGCATGTTACATAAACTCCCAAAACGGGGATGTTGGTGTTTTGGTGTACTGCGTTGTGTGTGAATGCTCGCTTTATGATCGCATATGACCCAGGTGACAGACTACTGATGCCTGCAACCTAGGACCCTAGTATTTCGGCTTGTGTGTGAAACTGGCTGAAGTTTGGATTTGAAATAATGTTAGACACATCAACACTGAAAGCAAATTCTTGATCTCAAGGACAAATGATGAGGGAATACCCTCAAAATGTAAAAAAATGAAATGGATTTACATTTATAATGTTCACTTTACAAATGCTGTGCACATAGCCCAACAGCACATAAGCATAAGGTCAGAACATGTGGGAAAACAGAGGCACATTTACTGTCATCAACCTCAAGAAATTGACCAAATTCACAGCTGTTTTGGGGGTTGGCCCCAACACTCTACAGCAGCAGTTTTCCCTGCTGGGTAATTTCTATCAAATTCTGCCAATCTCAGCAAGTAGTTAGGCTTTGGTTGAGAATTCTGTTGCATACTCTGGAAAGCTTTTAACTTTGTTTCTACTGTGACTGACTTTTGCTTGTGTAGATTCTTCTGAGAACCAACCAAAAGAATAACAAACATGTACACTAACTGGATATGGGAGGAAGAAATTGAATTACTTGCTTGTGTACAGTACCGACAGGTGTAATGTCAGGAAAATGTGATATGAAGATCAAGTAAATGAAAACAAAAGTAATGTCTATTTCACTGCATTGCTCGAAGATTTATAATAATCAAAACCGGCTAAACTGTCCATGTTGTTTGCTCAGTATACAAATCCCTTCCACAAACAAACCACCACACACAGCTTGCAAAATCACGAAGGACAGTGCTCACTTCTTACACTCAAAAAAACCCCCCTTTCTACTCCTGAGTTTACTTTCTCTTTCCACGGCGGAAAATCCGTCTTCAAGGGTGTAGGGCTCAGGCAAACACTTGCTCTGGGTGTTGGTTAAGTGTCCGTTTTATTGTGGCGACTTCGCTGCCTTTATGAATGAAAGACTACAGTGCACTGCAAACTCAAGGAAAAAGAAGCGCACAACTTTCAAGAAAGTTTCTGTGATTCCTTTTTTTTTGTCCACAGGAAATCCTGTGCTGCACAGAGGTAAAGCAGAGCAAGATTAGCCCTGGATTATAGCAATGCCACCTCACACTAAGCCAAAGATACAAGAGGGGTATACATGTATGTGAAGAAATCAGAATACTGAGAGCTATAAGGGAATCTGTAGGTTAACAACAGAACGCTGAATGTATGGGGAAAAGAAGGGAACCGTCTAACAAAAAGGTTACTACATGGACACATGAACGTGAGCTTCATTGACATAACACTGTAGACAGATACTTCCACAGACAGAATGAGTACCACTGCTGTGGTGAATACATTATATGCACATATGTTCCAAACAAAGCATCCCCCCTAGGCTTAAGCTCCTGTAAATGACATTAACAATATGCTTGTAGCATCTGTGGATAACTAAATTTAGCAGAAATGCATACCTTTCTACTGAGCACAGATATTCACACTCCTACATTGTAAGTTTCTTTCCATAGCCGCATTCCTCTTCTCTAAAATTGACACTGATTTGGCTTTTCTGCAGATGTGTTCACATTGGGCAATATTTCACTTCTTCAATCTTGTGTCAATGAAGTTACCCTTTAACTTTTACAAGTAAGAGCATGGCTTTCCTCACTCTTCAGGCATTTTAGACAGGGGGAAAGGTGTGGTTAGAAAAGCAACCATGCCAACCACAGGTAGACCCCCAAAAATGACCCAAGGTGTAATGAGATTGAAGTGTCATGGGTCACTCTGGGTCAGCATCAAGTTGTGGGCACCCAACAAAACCACGCTGTTAATGTTCTGGGTTGGTTCTGAGATCAAGTTTTGAGACCAAATAATCTCTGATGAGAGCATGGCAGGTGAACGGGTTTGAATGGGCAGGTGTATTTCAAGGTCCCAATTTATAATGTTATTGCTGGCCTTATCCAGGTCAGTGACAGCTGTCATTCAGGTATTACAGGTTGTGGAACATTTCAAGCTCCATGCCCATCTCAAGGTGATAGATGTACATGTATCATGTGTCCTAATCTCTTCCCAAAGCAATGAGAGTGGTGAACCATAGTAGATGTACTGGTACTGTAAGAAGTGACAAATCAAAGACAATATTATGTATGTTGGTAATATCATAAAGGCTTACGATAAACAAAAATGAGTTCATGCAGACAGTGTCGACGTTTTCTTCAAGCACACATTAACCCAAATTGATGGGGGTCGATAAACACAAGTGTAGAATACTTGAAGACCAGGCATGAATCCTAAACTTCATGACCACCCTGAAGGAATGTATCTTTCCATGAACTCCTGTCTTGTGCAAATGTTTGGATGCAATGCAATGGTGATTCACTTCTGTTCCTTCCAGCATCTACTCGCTAATGTTTACACAACGTGTGGGCAAACTGTTGACTTCATATTTACAGGGTGGGGAACTTTTCATACTGGGAGAAAGAGGGTTATTGTCCTATTGGCTGGTGTACTGATTTCTTTTAAAGAACCACAGGAAACATGTACACATACTAAAGGAAAGACTTTTTAGTGGACACTTCAGACTTGTTTTTCCCAGCCAAAAAGTAGTTTAACCATACTTTGGTCTGGGAAGAGTTGACCGAACAAATTGTCCATACATGTACTTACATTTATTTGTTTAGATAGAAATCTTGAAAAAAAACCATTTTTTACAGAATATCTTGAACAAACTCATGTAATGACTTTGTGATAACACATGTAGAAAAAGACAGGAAAGCAACAGGGAAAAATCTGGGTGTAACATCTCCAGAGTGGTCAGCGATTACCCCCTCAATCAGAATTTAAAAAGCTGAATCCTATCTCTCAGTATGATACACTCTGCTTGCTGTAACTCAGCAGACAGCAGGAACCTCAACATGCTGCATGATTTCAAAGACTGACCACCTCAAGAGATCTACTTGTTGATGTTCGTTGTTATTCTTCAATTCTATCACCATTCTGTTCTGACAATAGGACAAAAAAGACAAGCAGTAAGCAGGCTTTCATGTAACCCAGTCTCCAATGCTCTTTTTGCACTTTGAACACAGTCCTTATGTACATGTAAACTACAGCTCCTACATTTTGGGGTAATTCACTTGCACTCAGTGCTGGTACAAATGTTCCTCTGCGGAATCCTCACTGTTCTCTTGGTAGAGACACTTTTGATGCTGACAGAAATGTCACTTTTAGGCAAACATATTTATGCATGAGGGTACATACATGTACATGTATACACACGTACATTTACATATCCATCAAAGCAGGATGTCTTTCAACAAGTTATTAATGTCCACATTTTTTTTGATTGTGGAACCCGAAGAAGAATTTCTCTGTAAAGCCCTACAGGTATTTTTACCAAGTTCTAACTTTCACATAGAACTTGATATTTAATAGTTTAAATTAAAAAAATTCTAGCCAGCTTCACAGCTCTCCTGAAACACACACAATCACACACAATTTACTTGTCAGATCTCAACTTGTCAGATGCTGTAAGGAGCCACTGCATCTTGACTATCCAAACATCTTTATTAGAACAAATCTTCTTTAGTATACAAGTGAAAAGAAGGGGGGTCAGCACAGTTGCCAGGGCAACAGGGATGGAAGTGGTCCCTTTATGCTTTGAGATCAGGGTGCCACCTCAGTGCCACTTGACAAGTTGAATATCGACATGCTCCCATTGTTTGCCACTTATCAGAGACAGATGTCTCCGATTACTTATGTTTGTCCCAACAATGTCAGCATACCATTAAATTTGGAACAACACAATGAAAGGATATTTCAAAAAGTCACTGATAATGACAGGAAATACAATACAGATAGGTTTAGAGTCAATATCATGTCTAATTATCTGCAGTATGTTCGAGGAAGATACATCTTGGAACAAATTTGGATTTGTTTGAGGCAATTTTAAAAACTGGGTGGCAGAAGGGGGCGGGACAAACATATTTTCTTTGAGGGAAGGGACATCTCTATAGCTTCACACTGCACAAGCTGTGAAATGATAAAAAAAAACACCTTCACTAAAGATTAAGTTTCAAACAAAATAAACACATCTGAAAAAGCTGAATCCATACATCTGCGAAAACACTAACAAACAAAGGCCAACTGAAATTGTATAGGCCTATGTGTGCAACAGTTGCCAGAAATTTCCTCAAAACAAAGAGGCTAACCACAGCAAACTCTGACCTAACCTTCCCTACATCACCCCTATCAAACAAGCTTCAGCTCCCACACAAATCCACATCCATCTTCACCTCAATATTTTATGGATCTTGTTCACCTCTATGAGTGGCCATGAACTTGGCCCGGCTATTTGGCAAGTCAGTGGTACCCAATCAAAATAAACAGGAAAAGTATGTAGGAATGTCGTATTCCTTAAGATTCTGCTGTAAACAAGAAAGGCCTGATCTTACTTTATGACACCTTAAGACATATGGTACATGTACATTTCACATCTTTGAAAAGAATTTACACTGGAAAGGTTGGATAACATGGTGTAATTATGAAAAATTAATAAACATCAACTACTTGTTGCCACAAATTATGTTCATATCAAATGAGGACTGCCATGCATTTGAATTTTAGCAGAATCTTTCTCAATTGCATCATTGAGGTTTCATTGTCACAAATGACATACTTTTATTGAGCTTTCAGACACTATCTGCATCTGTGAATTTGCTTTTATTTACACCGACCTAAATCTTGTAGTTTTCTTCCCCTGAATGGCAATGGTGCTCCCAAATTAAGCCAGTGAAAAATATCCAACCAAACTACATTGTGTTATTTTTATGATAATCTCCTCCTTACACAGACAGTTTTTGTGTATCATTTTAGCATAGGCAAGAAAACCCTGTGTGTGTTTCCACTGTATCCTGTCCCCCCCGTCTTTCTGTAAAAGACACACTGTACCTCTATACATCCCAACCAAGCATGTGTACATGTACTCTGGGTAGGATTTACATGTAATTCGCTATGGTAACTTGGTTATTTTCAGAAACAAATTTAAGTCCTTTTGGATGATAGCAAAATAAAGTTCAGCAATAGAAAATTCCACAGATTAACAATTTGCATTTTTATGTCTATACAACTTCTGAAATGACAGTAAATGAAACAGACAACCACACAATATAACAACTGAACCTACACTGAGGAATTTTAATGAGTGTCGAACAAGTTTTCTTTTATTCATCCACGAGAACCATTTGGCACTTTTTACCACCATTCTGTTGCCGATAAAAAGGTCATGCATCATGAGCAATGCATGGTTATTGCCCATCCAGGTGTGCCCCACTTCATAACAACTTTTAAACAGGTACATTGCACTTTTGTAGTGTGATACTTTTTTCTTGTTTGGTGTGAAAAATTCTTAAAAGGTTAGCGAGTTGAAATGGCAGATTTCGGGATTAGAAGGGTCAACCACCATTAAGTGTCAATGATTGAGGGTTTTTATTGGAAAGATTAGTTTCATGCCTACATGTACATTGGCGGTGTCTTGAAAACAACATCAAAAACACCTTTGGTGTTGATGGTAATGACACTGCTTTAAACATGCAGACTGAATTTACATGCAGATGTGTTCATTCTTTTCAAGGAAAGCTATGCAAACACTGTGTTTTATATTTTGTGGTCAGAGTCTTATCCCCATCTCCCATCCACCTGAGCATGGCAAGCACTGTGGAATATCTCCCTTAAAACTAGAAATAAATATGTGTCTGCCTCTTGCCATCAATTTTCCTGCATTTACGGGGTAACTTTGACAATTTTGCTCCAATGACTACTTCACAAAGGTGTCAGCTGGACCCAATCTGTTAAGCTCATGGATTAGATGCTGTGAAGAATTCAGCACTACAACATTGTCCCATCTCTGTAGGAAGCAGTGGTGCACAGGGCTTAACATCTTGGGGTAAATCAAAGCAACCTCCAGGCACCTTGCTATATAATAAAGATTCCTTGCTAGTGCTCACCCAAAAGTAACTAAAGGATTGTAACACCTCCCTACAAATTAAGATGGTTTGCCGAGGTTATTCTTCAATTTAGCTTCTTTGGAAGCCCCATCAGTTCCACTGCTCTAAAACTATACTCTAAATTCGCTGGCACGAAACCTTGGGTAACTCAATGGCTGAACAGGATCAGCTGAACTCGTAGAAATTATAAGTAAACTTTTGCCGTCTGGTTTTAGCACTCCTTTTCTTCGTTAGTTTGAATGGAAAATTTTAAGCCTGCCCAGTGGGTACAGTTTTTCAGGTTCTTTTGTTACTCAATATTGTACACTGCAGGTCTCGAGGGTAGATTCCTTTCCATTTGTAAAGATGCAAATAATAGCTGTGTGACGGCGTGCATTGCATTGTACATCATGTACAGGTTCTCAAAGCACTCAGCAATAAGCAACATTCACACTGCCTCAAAACACTGAAAATAGGAACAGACCATGTTGGTTAAAGTTGAGAGATATTAGCATTTGTGCAGAATGCACAGTGCCAACTCATATGGTCCTTGAAGTTGAAATCCTCAACATGCATGGATACCAACTTCCTCATCTATGGTATTACAACTGTTTATGTCAATCTTTACTGATTTTATAAAGGAAAGAATTTGATATAAATGTACACATACATGTCCAGACGCTGCTTGGCATTCTGGGTACAGACCCTATGACTGAGACTGGTCTGAAAATTGTACATGTAAGTGTATTCTAAAGGAAGACCTCAGTATTTTCACTGTTCAATTTGGATTTTTAGGATATTGCTTTCACATGACTATTCCTTTGTAAATTCAAACTGTACAGATTATCTCTGATTGAAGAATTTACACTGTACATCAAGGGACTTACATGTAATAACACACTCATTGAAGATTATCATTTTAATAATTCTCTTTTCAAGAGAAAATGGAAAAAAAGCACAAGAAAACAATCCAAACAGCACTTTTTGTTTGCACAATTGTAATGCTTCATATTGGAAGTAAAGATCTGCCTCATTTCAGGTTGACTTCTAAGCCAACATCACTGAGCTCCATCTGTGTCCTAACCCAGAGATAAGCAGTCTAGCCAGGAAAGATCTGACAGTGACAGTGATGGATTTCCTTATTCTGGGGGGGGGATTGAGAACCCTCCTGCTTGTCACATTTTTTTTAGTCCAATACCCTTCTGGATAGGCTCAGTGAATCTCATACATCACAAGGCTGGTTTGGAGAGAACGAGACAAACTGTGACAACTTAGGAGAAATCTTATCCAAGAAGAATGCAGGCAGTGACAGATTACATACTGTTAGCCCAAGCTAAAGGTGCAAAGTGTGCTGAAAGATGTTGTGCCTATGTACCCAAACAAAATGTAACCAGTTTATCAGGCAATTCCTGTGATACGGTTTGAATTTATGGTCCTTGAACCTAAAAAAGAGTTATCAGATATGAAGTTTCAAATATATATGAAGTTGTAAAAATGACTTGTTTTTTAAATTCATTTTGTATGTATTTGCAATAACTCATGACAATGATTGTACTAACGTCTACTAATTTCTTTCTCCCACCCAGCGTGGGTTTTTTAAATTTGTGATTAGTGGTCAAACAGCAAGATATGAAATAAATCTTGAATCTTGAAATCTTAGATATATTACAAGCATATTCTATGCATTTGACAAGTGCAAACATTTACTCTCTTAATATTAATGCTATGCATTTTAAGCTGGCGCAAACAGCAAGAGTTAAGCGCCATTAAAACAAAACAATACCATTTCAATTAAGCTTGTTCGTCAACACTTGCTGACCATTAACCACCTCTGTTCACTTATACCACTCAAATCTTCAACAAACCTTGCAACGTAACGAGGCAAACACCAGGCCAAATTTCCCTACCAAACCTGCACGGGTAGTCTGGTTTCCGATACCTAAGACCGTCTCCTCATTTATAGGCTTTCATAGTTGTTTTTCTAAGATTTTTACAAATTCATAGTTGCAGTTACACAGTTGTAGTATTGTGTAAGTAAATAATCAGACACTATCATTCTTGATAGCGCCAAGCGCTCACAGTGCCCTTGAAATTGTCAATCAAGTCATTTACCATGTTTACCTTGTAGCATTTCTTCCAGTTTCTTTCGGTCGACACGGAATCTTTCCTCCATGTGTTCGGGATCGCAGACGCTCACCTGACCCGGCGAATCTTCTTCGCCTTCTTCGTCCTCCAGGGCTCCCATCGGCTGGCTGAGATCGGAGCTGTTGTCAGAGCTGAAGCCACTGTTGTTGTTATTGCTACTCACTGCTACGCCGAGGTCCCGTAAATCAGAGACCGTGTCCATAAGGTCCGCCATTACACACCAACTGAAAGTCTTTTAGAACTTCTTATGAGTAGCTTGCAGCGTTAGGCTGCATGTCTGCCGCGCGAGCACACACACACGTACAGGTGAATCGCTGCATTTCGTGTGCTCCGTGCATTTTTATTTCATCCACACTATGCTTCAGCACTTATACACAGGACGCATAACTTAGTGCACATCCGCAAGGCATGTCTGCAATGGCTCACTACTTGTACCAATTACACTTGCACTTGGTGATAATCGCGCACATTTCAGACCTGTCAAACCTCAAAGTTGTTGTTCAGAACTACTCTAGAAGTTAGATTTTACAATTCTGAGTTATTCAACATTTTCAACCCAAAATACCGTCGTTTCTGGGCGGAAAACAGAAAGACAAGTGTGACTGTGCACATATTTTTTCTTCCGTCTAAATAGTAAATGCCATTTCGTTGATTCTCATTGCAAAAGTTTATTATTCTTTTCTATCAAATAAAAAATTGCAATTCAAAAACGTTTAGTCAGGAAAACAATAAAATTGATCGTTGTTGGTAGCAGAGAAAAATGGCAAACGATAACAGAGGCTTATATTAATGTTGGTTAGTGCGTATGAATATTTGCTGTCATTGTAGTGCTATCCGACGAAAGTCCACAATGTGAGGTTTTTCTTGTCGTCTGCAAACTTTAAACGCATCAGAATGTTTTGTTAAATTGTTATTGGGTTGGTTTTTAATCTTGAATCGCTCGTTCTGCGTTTCATTCGAAAATTTACAACCCTGTTTTCAGTTAAACATGATATCCCCCAAAATGTCACTTGCTTCACAAAGGAACATCCTGTAAATAATGCATAAGAACTGACTTAAAGACTTTATCATTATTATCGATATTTTGATTGCCTGTTTTGGCTCCATATTAGTTACTTTTTAGTTCTTGACAGTCTGCAATCACAGTACGAAAAAAATGTTTCATTGCCTCGCCCATAGATCTTGCTTTCAAGGGTCATTGACAGGGAAGTTCCTTTTTCTCTATTTCGAAGGCCGAGGCCGGTTTGACTCAGGGCATATTTTGCTGTGCCGCACCTTCCTAGCCACACTGTCGATTTCTTGGAACAACTGAGCCACCGGGGGCCCGTATCAGATGAGCCACAGGTGAGGCCCAGCTACCCAACCGTTTTGTGTTTTCCCTTCAGTTGATCGTTGATTTAGCGGAGCGGGAGCGTTGGTCGCCTGAGGGAGGAAAAGACTGTGCACGGAGAAAGGATGGTTGGAACGCGCAACGGCCGGAATCTTGATAGCCTGCGGTCAAAGCGTCAAAGTGGAAGGAATTTATTGAGGGGTCTACAGTGGTCATCATGTTCGTTTCTGTAGAAATAAAGCTGATTAAAAATGGTTGGCGACCATGAGTTGATGTCGACGATTAAAGGAATGTTTACACGGAGTCACGGTTATTTTCTGCAACGAGAAAATCTAGTGGGCAACAGGAAACCGTCAACCTCGACCACTAGGCGTATGGACTCCGGGTTGCATCGAAGAATCGCGCCAACGTGAAATAAAAGAAAATTACAGGAAAATGAGTTGAGAAACCCAGCTAGTTCGTATGAGAATGGTATTTCCACAAGACTTTTAAGACGAGCTGTAAGGGGGCCTACTTGTCTTGGCCAATTAAACACAAAGTAGCATCTTGTTTTGATGCCAAAGTGCATCGTGATTTAGAGTTTCCCATTAGGGGAGTTTCTATCATCTTTTGTTTCAGCTCTCATCCTCACCCCAGATATAGCTAAAAAAAATTCAGAGGGCAGGGGAAGCTATGTTATCATGATCCTGCTAGCTAAACTTCGAGTACACACTATCTCATGAAACTCTCGCAGATGAGGGGAGGGGAATGGTCCATTCTCCAGCCGTCCCCCTTCAGTGCACTTTTCGAAATGTGTTAAACTGTTTGTAAAAGCAACATTTCATGTGACCTCAGTGCAGTGCCCCATTGGTAAAAATATATCCCCACTCTAGGTAGGATATTGCGATCACTTTATACTGAGTTCACGAGAAGTTAACGATAAAAGAGGGCGCCATTGCAGCTTGTCCGGTTGCGATTTTTGGCTTGCCGGTCACAAAAAAATACCGTGCAACATTTTCATTCGGTATTCAACAAACAACTCAAAAAAATAAAATAGGAGGTAACAAATAAAAAGATTGATTGTGTTCCAGGAATGTACAAGCTAACGAGAGTATGTATATATTCCCAATGTTCCTACCCAGGCTTCCTGGAACAAGCCAAAAAGTACAAATAAATAATAAATAAATAAAATTCGAAACAACTTGTGCAGGCCCGGAGTCAATGACCCATGAGCGTAATTCTCAGGGTAGATGGGGATATGTATTCCCCCACTTTTGAGATGGGGAATGGCCTATTGAATAATGCCCCCTTTTTTGTGATGAGCAAAAAAAATTAAAGCGGATTGTGAAGATTTTATAGGATTTCTCAAGGACTAAAATGTGTGCAATGTCACTAAATAGGCAAATCAGTTTTTAAAAGCCATAAATATTCCATTCTGATATGAAATACTGCATGAATTTGATACACATTACAGATGTACATGTACATCTCTATCACGAACATCACCCCTATATACTGTATATTACATCCCCCTTTCAAATTTCCATGCCCAGGCAAGTAAGCCCGACCCCCCCCACCTTCCCCACCCCACCCCAATTTCCAACACAGACGCCACTGCGATGAACCCCTCCCCCAGCAGCCAGTATTCAGCCATAGGTGCTGTACACGAATTAATGGTTCAACTGTCCTGAGTCAATGGTCTGCATAGTTGCTTTAGGACATTACGCCCGGCCCTTCGGGATGGGTGCTTTGAGCCCGAGTATTCCAGAGTGTTTCATAGTGCACATGTCTGTAAATTCTTTGTTTACTATGACATTTGAAAATTGAAATATATGTTCATTTATATGTTTGTCGGTCAAGGAGGAAGGGTCGCATATATTCTTATTCAACGGTTTTTAAGAAGTTAAAATGTAAAGGTCCGGGCGGGCCGGGAGACCCCCAAAAAGTTCGTCAGATACATTACCTTAGCTTACCTACGGTGGCGGTTTCTACCTAAAACTTCCCACTGATGTTTCCACTTTGATTAGAGTGGCAAAACAACCTGCTTGAAAAATCAACAAAATATTTACATTACATTTTCAATTTTCTTTCTTGTTCAACATATCCAAAATAATTCAAACGTGAAACTTTCACCCGCGTCTGAAATGATGCTGATTTGCTATACATAACAATGCGACGCACAGGTAACAGGTCACAAACACGAAGGAAACTCAAAAAGACTGAAAACGGAAGTATGACCAGAAAGTTGGGTACTTTTGTGATTTGTGTTAGTATTTCAAAGCATTACGGAGCTGCCCTTGACTCACAAATAACGCAGGAATAAACGCTTTTACCTGAAAAAAGATAAATCTTTCAGTCTTCTCTAAAAGTTTCAGTGCGGTATTTTTCGAGAACGGGCAAGTTGGCAAGCGCCCTCTCGTGTTAGTCTCTCCTGCTTTATTCGTGCGGCAGCCGGTATGCAAATTAGCAAAAATGGTAAATGTTTACGCTGCAGTCTGAGAAGGGAGAAGGCTTACCTGGATGAACCGTGCAAGAAATCCGCTGGAATCCTATATTTTGGAATAGCATCGAACCCCCAAAAGGCAGGTGGCGGGATAAGTAGCCTTTCAACTATGGCTACTACAAATCAGAAGCTCCCAACTACTGAGAGGATCGTAAAAAGTGAGTATTCCGGAGCGCTTGTCACCTGAATTATAAGTGTGCCACCGCCATGTTTTATAGTCAGTCGTTTGACATATACATGTAATGTCGTAGCGGGTTGCTGATTATGTTTATGTCGCCGGGTAACTGTGTTAATTGTTTGTTACACGCCTTCTTTTGCGTTTCTAGGCATTGACAGGGCCTGTGTGCTTACGCTAATATGTTAACACCCCGTGTGCTGTTCCAGGAATAACGAATGCATTCAAAACATTTTCCCCACGGTAATTTTTTTGTTAGAATAGAAGTTTTGTGTAATGCAGTGGGCTTGGCCCACATCTCTTAAAATACATGTGGTTACCGGACAAGTGAGTTGATTATGTACTGCTGAATACTATAGTGGAATTCAGGACTATCTATGTTCCTCATGTAACAAACAGGGTCTGCTACCCAATGCACTAACAAGATCCTGAACCCCAGTTTTTGTTTGTAGGAATTGCTGTTGTAATTTTCCATGTAATGTTAAAACACATAGGCTGAGCCTTGCTAGTATTCATGCTCATGAGCAAACACACAGTTAAATGTCATTAGCACTTGAGACTAGTCACAATAAGCCTTATTGCAAATACTGCATGAGTGATTTTGCACAATGGTAGAAAGGCATTGTGGGAAGGAAAAAGGAGCAAAGATTGAATCTTTTTCCTTCCCACAATGCCTTTCTACCATTGTGCTAAATCACCCATGCAGTATTTGCGATAAGGTTTATATCCCATGAAGCTTGATAGCGGACGACTGAGCTTAGTCTTCAAACAGAGTGGAATAAAGTCAGAGTGTTTCACATCTGTGTTCTCTGTACTGCTAGTCATTTGGGAGTCATGCAAATCATTTTACCTATATCATCTTCACAGCTCAACTGTATTAAGTGGCGCGTAATTTGAATTGATGCAGATACTTGAAAATACAAAGTATGCAGGATTACCCATGCTTCCATTGGATTTTTGGGAAAAATGCTACCGCTATTCCGATTCATCCCTTCATGTCCATGTTCTTAGACATGTTAAATGGCATTGCTGTTGTAACATGAATTTCGAAACCTAGATAGTGTGCAGAACATTCCAGCATCCATTCTAATTTCACTGGATTTTCCCATGTTGATTAAATTAGTCTCTGGTCTGGTAACACAAGGCCGTACTAATGGTTTCCCTAGTTGCCATGGTGACAAGTTCATACTGACAATGAAGAGCTCAAGCCAGGGGGTGCTGTATAGTTACTGTCTCCTGTGATACCTATTTGAACTGGTTTTGTTTTTCCACTTATGTGGAACTGAATATCACATTATTTTAATGATATATGTATTTTTTTTCTAGTAGCCAGTTAATTAACGTCACAGTTAATATATGTAGCCCAGGGGTTGTGGTTCTCAAGAGAGCAACCAGTGCAGTTATGGACTGTTGTCATACACAACGTGGTGTAGCCCTTGAAACTACGATCTTCTTTGACATCCTAGTGCCTATCAGAAACCGATTGGTTTGGCATTATTGCATATTTATCAGTCAGCCCTCTCTGTCCTTCATATACGTGCAGTTTACAAATTGGGAGGATATCCGGAGATCTTGGAAGACATTGTGTTTATATGTGCAAAAAAAGCCAAGTGGGGATCTGCATCTTTATCAACTACTTGTAATCCCAGAGGGGATTAGGTAACATTGTTAAAGGGATCCCAGAGAGGATTAGGCAACATTGTCCAAGGGATAAACACAAAGACATGAAACCAGAATCTATGGATTGGCGCGCACCTTGACTAAGGCTAGCGGTGATTCAGCCCAAGGTGCTGTGTGTCTATTTTGCATGTACTATACATGTACATGTATGGGTGGGTTGGTTTTCATACAGCAGAGCACTATCGGTATCTTGCAAGGAGGATGTGATCTACACAATTCTTTCAACTCAAGTGATAGAAAAGGCAAAACTAATCCTATTACGGGTAATGTGTAAACTGACATTTTACATTTTAAGGGAGCACACTGGTTTTGAGTTGTTATGAGCAGGCCTACATCCCGTTAAGGTTGCGTTTTCAGTTACTGTTGGTAAAAAAATTGGATAGGATCAGATATCGGCCAATGTTCCGATTAAAACACCGGATATCGGATCAATTGATCCTTGCTCCTGCTAGGTTGTTGCTTAGCTGTGCTGGTACATAGTGACCTGGGTAGAGCAGGAGGATTACCTTGTTACATCCCTTTTTGTTTGAGTCTAACTCTGTGATTTATTTATCGCTATTGTAGAGGTTCAGAGTGCCTGGATTTGGGAAGGGTTTTAGTACTGCGTTTACATTTGATCATGCAAAGGAGAAACAAGGGGGATCAAGCAAGGGGATCAGATCTGCGCTGTGTTTACATTGGATCCTGATCCCATGTGGCATCGATGAAGCGCTGCATCCTCGGGGCGAAGCTCATGTGAACAGTTCACTGATCATGCACACTGGAGCAAAACGGCAGGCATTATACGCAAAACTTGAATGTGCATTCTCATGTACTTATGCACTGTATATCTCGTCTTATCTCACATAGTTTCAGATGAAACAATGAAATTTGGGGAAATGGAAGGTGTTGGATGAGCGATATGCAGCGGTAATGAAAGTTAGGAAGGTGACATGGAAAAAGTACAAATGGGCGTGCACCAGTTTACCAGCTACTCACAGTAAATTCAGACTAAACATTCTATTATAATATAGACTTTATTTTAGGCCTTTTTGAAAACACTCGCTTTTGATTCAGATGCTAGAATTTTGGCAACATTTGTTTGACCACCTCAAACATATCAGCACCCCAAGAGATACCCTGATGTATATCCTAAGCGTACCTGATTCATGCAAGAGTACTGAAAAATGCTGTTGATAGTGGTACTAGAGCAACTTAGTAGATTTAGACCCGATTTTGAAACTCTGGTGATGGTGCCAGTAGGGTGAAGTTTGTAGGATTGGGTATTGTGAGGTAAGAGTGTTTTTCCAAGGTGTTGAAGTTTGTGTGATTGGGAAAGGTTAGGTCCAGCAACCCTTGGGTGGTTCGGGTTAATGCTTTAGGTACATGTATATTTTCCCATGTGTCCATGAATTTGCCACGTTTTGTCAAACGTCAGTATTCAGTTGGACTATTCACATATATACCGCAGTACTGAGTATGTCTCACCTGGATGCATTCTACATTCTGGGTCAGATTTTCACCATGAATGTTGTCAGATTCTCCAAGGATTTTGCAGGACACCAATTTTGAAATAACTGCTCCAGGCTCAGAGTCAATGAAGCCCCCCTCCCCTTGGAAGCCAGTGTTTAGCCATACATGTCATTGCTGTATATGAATGGGGTTCATCTATCCTGTGTGAAGGGCCTGCATGGTAGGCAGCGCAAGTTGCCTGAGGACATTTACCAAGTTGAAATGATCTTTAACTTCAAACTGTGGAGCTGCATGTTTATTCCAGGTAGCGTAATGTGCTATTTAGTAATCAAATGAAAGATTTTTTCGGCAAAAAGAGTCATTGTGCTAGAAAACAATGTCCCATTTGGTGACATACGTGTAGCTCTCTCGTCTTTTGTGAAGCGTTTTTAAATGCTTGTTAGCCAAGCTTCACACGCACATAGGGGCCTACCTTTAACCCTAATGCCCAAGGCTCCTTCTCTAGAAAGCATACTGAACCTCACAAAATCCAACAGCTGCATGTACAGTACTTGTCTTTATACTTGTACATGCAGGTCACTGTACCAAACCTGAAAAAATCCAACAGAATGAGCCCGTTGATGTTTGAGTGATATGGTGTGGATGGGTCTATGCAGTATAGGATGAATTGACTTGCCCTGAACAGTACCAAACCTGACAAAATCAAGCANTGTGTCCCAACTCACACAGAATCCAATACCGTCTCCCCCAGCCTTTCATCCAAGTCTAAAAAAATTCAACAAGTTCATCAAGTATGGTACCAAACTTGCCAAAACCTCACAAAGCCTGCTGTAAAGTATGGCAGGTTGGGGGTAGTTGGGGTTAATAGCAAAAAAAAAAGGATCCTTGTTGAATACAGCAGACGTACATGTAATGAATTCTTGAAAAGCAGTGACTTGATTGATTAGGTAAAATATTGAAGTCATAGGAAGGTGACAAGTGACTACTGTATTCTCTTGCAGTTGGATGACCGAAGTGATAGTACAGGTTGTTGTATTGTTGTGGTTGTATCTAGCCCAGGTGGACTCCCTGACTGTACTACGTTACTGAGGGAGTCCAGGATATAAAGGGTTTATTTATGTTTATAAACCAAAATATACAGTAGAACAAAATATGGACATTTTAGTGGTTACCAATAGTGGGTTAATTGGTCAGTCTGAAGCCCCTGATCCGACAACTGAACTGCATTTTTATATCAGCTCGACGGCAGGCGGGTTAAAGCTGGGTACCAATTACGGCCTCCGTGTAGCAGGTATGCAGTAGACCTTCACTGGAAATTGCGCATGCGTAGTGCTCGGATTCCTGTACATGCGTGCACTTTACAACTCAAGAACAGATGAATTATGTCTACAAAAGTAACGTTGTCTCTCACTTATTTTCCTCGATTTTGCAGTCCGTGGTTCGTTCTGAAATTCCTAAACCCCCAGATGGATAGCTAAGACCACGAAGAACTTAGTTCTTAGAAAAATTAGTTTCATCAACAAGGTAAACCAAGAACAAATTAGAACAAATTTTGTGGTCATTTTGTACACATTTTTATACCCTGGAAGTCAGTCGTAATGAAATGAAGACAATGTCCAACCTGGGATAGGGTTGTGTCCAGATGCAGGTTAGAACAAGTGTGCAGGTTCAGGAAGGAGGAACAGTCCCTTTGCTTTTATAGTGAAGTCACTTGTCTGGAGCCTGTGTTCCTAGATACACATACATGTAGCTTTCAGCTTGTTCCAGTCTAATGTAAAGAGGAGATGGAATTCTGTAGTAATGTTACCTCGTGTCATTCACGAGCCTGATACTCTCGCCTCAATCCAACAA